AAAGCCAGGAAAGATGATCTGGGCTTTAATCAGATGTAGTTTTGCCATTTTGTTTACTCTTATAAATAAAGAAAAATCTAGGATGGATTTGATTTGGTTTCTACATTTGGGGAGAGTAGTTCATTCTCACTAACAGACTTCAACGCATATGAACACAGCTTTAGTCTCTGTTTGCATCATTTTCATCCTCACAGTCTGTACCAGTCTTTCAATTTGTTTTGACTTCAAATTAATCTGCTGAACTTATATTGCTTTTTTTCCCTTCAGCCACCTAGTTCTGTTTACACCCAGTTTTGCTAGTACCATGTTTATCTCCCCCTCCTTCAGTAACATTCAGCTAATTCCTACAGACCTCTAAGGCAGGTTCATTTGAAAAATGCTTTTGAAGAATAATAATAAAGTATCTGTATTTACTATTCTTTACATTTTTAAAACAAACGTTACTCGTTACTTTTGGCTTTGGTTTAATGTTTCTAAATATTTATTTCCCGTCATGTGCTCCATCCAATGCAGATCATTGGCTCCATCCACATCTAGTGAAAGCTAGTGTGATTGGATGAGTCATATAACGCAAACAGTCATTGGTTAGCTAAAGGAAATCATCAGAAGCAAGCAGGTGTTCTTCAAACTGCTAACGTGAATTGTCTATGCCATGCTACAATGTAGGATTCAGAAAAACATGTCTAAATGTCTGAAAGGTCGGACACAGGCGAGAGCGTATCGGGAGATGGAGACCAAAAAGGCCTCCCTCATCCTTGGCCCTATCTCAGAGAATTTATAGAAATAGTCGAATAATTGAGCTTTAATTCATATAGTGGCATCTGGCTGCTTTTTTAAAGGTTACTTTATACTTTTATACTTTAAGTAGTTTTTGGAGCACATATTATTTCACTTTTACTTGAGTAAAGAGGTCAAGTTGATCCTTCAACTTTAACCAGAGTGTTTTTAAAATGCAGTATCTATACTTTTACTTAAGTAACAAATGTGTGACACCGCTGAGTAATGCAGATAAACAATGCAAACTAAACTAAAGAAATGCATCTAAAAAAATGATGCAAAAGAAATTAGAATCTGTAGACAATGATTTCCATTTCAGATGGCTAAATAACACACCAGAGAACATCATTAGTAAAACTTTAAACAGAGGTTTACTCTGTTTACATCTAATCCAGGCTTTCAGGTTATTGTTACCGTATGCTTGAACCTTAAAAATCTATCCAAACAAACCAGAAGCAGTCTGATCTTGATGAAATGGTGGCCTAGTGGTTAGAGCAGTGCGCTTGTGCTCCGAGTAGGTAGCCGGTTCGATCCCCACAGCCTGGGTTCTGAGCAACAAAAAAGGGAACATATCATTTCTTGCCGATTATAAATCAATATCACGAAAAATTGGTTAGTTTTACGTTGATATCAATAAATGCACAATAAAAGCTCTGGCAGGAAATGCAGCAGATATATTTATAATTTGTTTATTGAATAAATCACTGCACATATTACTTTGAATTAAATACTAAAGTCTTTTACCCATTCAACAAGGTCTCATTGCACAGAAGGAAATTGTTACGTCTCTTTCAAACATTTTTTGCACAAAGGTAACGGAGTCTTTTGCACATCTTTGAACTCGTGGCTGTGCTGTAGGTGATGGAGGTTGGATTTGTTACTTTGGGTAGTCCCCACAGTTTTTACATCTCGCGTTCATTTGCTCTACATCTATGGCGTAATTTTTGTGCCACTGAGCTGAGAGTGCATTTAGAACAGTGTACATCATTTAAACTCAAAACCAGTCTGACACAAGCTTGACTCTGACAACGCGCTCTCGACCGCTTCTCTGTGCGCTCCTCTCTCGCTTTCCTCCGCAGGACTAACTGATGTAACTTCGTTTACAGCTGTGTTAGACACTTCTTCATTGGGCTCATCCACCCACATGCTGCTGTGTCTTAAGGAAATACCAGCGCACAGGGAAAAACAGCAGAATTACCTTTATTTCTTTTAGCCACATGGGACAATTGTCGCAGGATATCTTAGTGAATGACAGTAACGGTATACATTCAGTTTATCGCCCAGGCCCAGAACATATCCAGGTCCTTTCAAGAGAGTGAAAGTAGATAACAAGTTATGAAAAAGAAACGTTCAACCCACCTGAAATATGTGCCATCTCTACAGTGGATGACATCCTACGGAAGTTAGGTTTTTAAGCCAGATTTACATTAAGAATAGCAAAGCCAAAGTTTGCCAAAAAAAAAAACAAACATAGACAAACAGCAAGATTTCATCTTTTTAGACATGTATTAAAGGAATAGTACACCCAAAACATGATTAGCCTTCATTTTCTACTCACCCCCATACTGAACAACACTCTGGAGTACTTTTTTGATATCTCAAATGCAACTGGAGATCTGGGAGGCTTCTTGCTGTCTGCTGACATTCAAATAATGGAGGTCTATGGTGACCGAGACAGAAAGGTCCATAAAAGTCCACAAAAACGTGTCAATATTCCTCCATACTGCTCGTCCAATGTATTCCAAGTTTCCTGAGTGGGTAGCATCCAGAATTTACTCGAAACGAAGTCATTTAGAACGTTTTAGAGCCTAAACAGTAGTGTATAGGATTTCCTAATAGCGCCCCCATGTGCGCTCACGAGTCTACGGAAGCCGGCAGACCAAACCAGCGCATTCAGCTCGGCAAAGAACTCATGCTCTTCCTCAACACTGAAGTCCTCAGACATTTTTCTTTCGTTGTTTCTTTCTTTGCACAGGTAAACAGCACATTTCTTCTTCTACGCTTGCATTATCGGCAGAGCAGACGCTGAATGCGCACTTTCATCTGGTTTGGTCTGCCGGCTTCCGTAGAATCGTGAGCGCGCATGGGGGCGCTATTAGGAAATCCTATACACTACTGTTTATGCTCTAAAACGTTCTAAATGACTTCGTTTCGAGTAAATTATTGACGCTACCCACTCAGGACACTTGGAATACATTGGACGAGCAGTATGGAGGAATATTGACACGTTTTTTGTGGACTTTTATGGACCTTTCTGTCTCGGGCGCCATAGACCTCCATTATTTGAATGTCAGCAGACAGCAAGAAGCCTCCCAGATCTCCAGATGCATTTGAGGTATCAAAAAAGTACTCCAGAGTGTTGTTCAGCATGGGGGTGAGTAGAAAATGAAGGCTAATCATGTTTTGGGTGTACTATTCCTTTAAATTTTAGCTCAGTGATTCAATTAATCAAATATCCACTCTAGGAAGATTCCATTTTTGGAAAATCTCAATGTTCTTTGCTTCAATGCATTGCTTGAGCTTTCATAATTCAGACTGAAGTAAATCACTTTTTGTTCTTAGATGTGTGCCAACAACGAACCACTGCAAACATTTAGTGTGTTAGATTTCAATTGTTTGCTGTGGAAGGGGATTTTTATTTTTTTAAAGCATGTTTCACAGTTTTGATTTCGTTGTCCTTTTTTAAATTAAGGTAACCTCCTAAAAGGGATGATTGAATTATAAACTAGTTTTTGAAAGGAATGGATGTCATTTTAAACATTTTATAATTAAATTTAACATTTTTGGTTGGAAAAATTAGATATTTAATCCATATTCCCAGCCCTACTTTAAATTCTCTCTTGTCCAGACGGCATTATCTCTGGACTTTACCATTGCGTTCAAAAAGTGCTGACCTCTAACTCGCACGCTGTGCGCTAGCTGCAACCATCTCTTCCCTTTTGAGTGGCATCAAACCAGCTTTAAGCGTATTATTGCCACCTACAGGGCTGGAATGATAAATATGTGCTTTACTCTTGGTAGCTGTGGCATGACCAGACATGCCACAGCACAATTTAAAAGTTGTTTTTTATTTTTTAAATTGTGATTATTATGTGAATGTGATTAGTTGTTCAACTCTGGACTTAACCAGATGATTCTATTCCAAACGGTTTATAAAACAGAATGAAAGCTTTTATTGATTTCTTATTCAAAATAAGAAGTGTTTTTCTTTTTATGAATTGAGTTTTTAAAAAAGTATGTCTTTATATTTTAACAGTTTATTGTGCTAGCTGTATTAAATACTGACTGAATAAATAACAGAAAAGTCCAAATATTTAGTAGGTATAACAACACAGGAACCGATTTGGTTAAAACAAAAGAAAATGGACTAAAGAACGTTAAACACTCATAATGTGCAGAGATTTACATCGATCACTATATTTACCACTTTGTTTCAGTGAAGTGGATGATAGCTGTGATATATCTGTTTTTATTGTAATCCAAAAGTTGCTCTTATTGCTACTCACAGATTTAACAATCCCGAAAACAGTTTTTTTTTTATTAATTTTTTTTTAAGCCAGCAACATCAAAGTGTGAAGCCTCAGATGGCTCTGAAAGGATCAGACCTGACATGAGAAGTCTTGCAGTTTTTATTTACAGAGACTTATTCCTGTCCGGATATCTGTAAACACCGTAACCGTGAACCGATCAGCTCTATAACGCATCATCACCTGTTACTAAGCAACAGCTGATGCAGCATCCTTGCAGATGGTGGACACTACAGGTGCTTTCTACTCTGTCTTTCCCAGACTGTGAGACGTTGCTCCTGCCTGCAGTGCCAGCCATATTATTTCAGGCTTTGCGCGTCCTCAACATAGATGGGATATTTTTACAGCGTAAGCGTGGAGGTGGCGATTATACTTAGTGTTGCTTCCAAGTATGCGTATATCACTGCAAGTGTTAATGTGATAAGTGTTTGCACAGGATGTCTTTTTTTTTGTTCTGCGCTGTGTTAAAAGTAATTGCCAGAGGGGCTCTCCCTGTTTAAGCTGTGATGTATAAGTGCGGTGGGGGGGTGGGGGGTTGAGAACTTGTCTGTGTGTATTTTATTTATTTTTTTATGTTTGTAAAAGTGTGTATGGGGACTACTAGTGATGAAGCAGTTTGTTTAGTTGGACTTTTTGTTTTGATTTTTATTTTCTCTTCTTCTCTCCGTTCCAATGCTTCCCCCCTCTCCTATGCAGCAAGGACAAGTTTGGAAGGTTTGCAAAATTTATCACCTTCCACTGATAAAACCCCGTCCTCCTCCTCCTCCCTTTTCACCCTTCCTCAACTGATTCCTCCTCCTCCTCCTCCTCCCCACGCCCTCCTGGATACCCGTACTGATCTGTTGCCCACCCACCCTTCCACCCACCTCCCTCTCTGTACCCCACCCCTCTTCATGTTTGAATCTGTAATGTTGAGAGGAAGGCCTGAGCTCCATTCACTGTCCAGTTTATCTTCCGCTGATACAGATTCTTTTCTGTTCATCATTTGTTGACATATTTGATTTGATCTATTTGTGGCTTTTATATTATGTCCCGTAAATGGAGGACGGAACCTCCCACATATGAATGTTATCTATAAATTTCAGTTGGATGTGAAAAAAATTTAACGCTAATATTGTTTTTCACATGATTTACTGTGTAATTATATTACGCTAAATGTAAATAAGCATAATTCAAAGAAAAAAACATCTCTGTAACATCAAAAAATGTAATAAATGCTTGGTATTGTATTTTATGCTATCAATCATATTCAAGTAAAGATGCCATAACTGGCAATCATTATTTAAATAATCAAATAATTTAGTGATCTAATTATCATTTACTTAGGAATAAATAAATTAAAAGACTTTTAATTAAGCCAAAATCCGTAAAAAAAAAAAAAAGACTCAAACATTTTTATTTCATTTTACTTTTTTATAAAATCTTCTTTAACCCCTTAAAGCCTGTTGTTTATGTTATGCAAACACCCATGTTAGCTTATGCCTTCCCATAGTGCCGGTGTTAGACATTGGGTGTGAACCTAGGAACCTTTGGCAAGCACTTGTTTCTGGTGCGACGGGGTTTTATTATTGACTAAGAAACTGTTATCACACATTTGGAAATGCCTAATATTTTTTGTGTTTAAACAGAAGTGTAACAGTTTTAATTTGGCCATTACATTAATGCATATATATATATATATATATATATATATATATATATATATATATATATAATTATAAATTCAGGCATTATTGGGTGCCTGCTCTGAATCCTCAATTTGCAGATCTGAACATCAACTTGAGTTTTATTTATAATGCATTTAAATGTGCAGTTAATGATTTTAAGTTCAAACACTTCTTAATCTACTTGATATCAATTGGGAAAATATTTTCAGCTTCATAGATTACTAAAGGGCTATATCCAGCTCTGCTTTAAACACAGTGCTTTTCCCTGAGCAGTTATTTTTGCAAATGTCTAAAAAAAAAAAGGTACAGTTTGGAAACTACTATAATTTTGCAACGTACATTTTATGAGTTTAAACATTTTACAAATAATATTTTTAATTCAGTTATGGTTTGTTTTTCTTGTGTAGAAAAGAAGAGAAGGGTTTCTGACTCACCTGTCAAAACAAGTTTTATAACTTAAATCACCCTTTTCTTTCTGAACCAACTCCAGACGTAAACACAAGGAAATCTTCTAAATATAAATTAGGAAAATGGATTTTCCAATTCTAATGTAATTCTCATATTAATTCCTAAAGATTGATTGGTATTGATTGAGGAAGTTTTTAGGAAATGTGTCTTCCACTGTCCTTACAGCCTCCATTAACTGCCATTATGTTATTAATTTGCTGTTTAATTGCAATATAACACTATATTATATTATGCTTTACTACACAGTCAAATATTTCAGGTAACAGCTAAATAAGCCATTAGATTTGATATCAGACCATTTTAAAAAGGGTCAGTGTATTTAAATCAATACAAAGTTCCTATACAAGTGTTGATTTAAAGGCCAGTTAAGAGATTCTCACTTGAACCACAATAAAATTTTATTTTTTATTCGTTTTACAGAAATATGCTTCTTTTTTTAGGTTTAAAATAAAAACGCATGGATTGGCAGAGGATTAATTGCAACCTGAAATCTGTTCATAGTTGACATAAATAACCCTGGATCATGAAAACTGTTAATTTATCCCAATAGAGAACTTATCAATGAAACGATTTCACATAAAATCAGAGAAGGAAATCTCTTTGATGAAATCTGATATATTTGAATTAAACTTGCTGTAATAAAAAACGTTATTCTGAATGATTTTCCTCAAAGATTGTGTTTGTTTTTATACATTACAAAATAAAATGTTACCTCTGCATGTTTAATGATGTTGCCTGTGAAAAAGTCCTCCTTTAGCATCTAAACCATAAATTAATGATAACTCAGACCAAATATTATTGAATATCCCCGAAATAGTTTGGAAAGAAAGAAATGCAGGTTCTATAATTAATTTTTTGCTAAATGGTTTAATGGAGACTGTTGCTTTAAATGGCTCATAGTAATTAAATCAGTCATTCATGTTTTGTTTTTTTTATAATTAACTAACCACAGCCCTCGAAAACATATTTTATAGTTTTTAAATATCGCATATTTATTTTGCATGAATTTTTAGATAAAAAGATGAGATTCTAAAGATGATCACAGATAAAAAATGTTGATGTTGAGGCATTTTTAAGGACATGTCGAAGCAGCTGTGAGCATCATTTTATTGTTGGATTTAGGATTTTCAGCTGGAAAGAGGAGCCCTTTTAAAGTATATAAAGGTGCATAAAACCTTATTTATCCCTTTACTGCCGTCCCAAATTTTACTGAGTAGATTTCTCTAATTCTTTGCTTTCTTTTAGGCAATTTCCCCGAAGCAATGTTTAGAACAATAAAAATTAACAACTGGCTTCTAAAGAATGATATTTCTAAGATGTGTTGTTGATTGATTGAGAATCGGTGCAGTAAAACCTTTGTAGTATTTTCTTTTAGTAATCAGTAGAGCCCATCCTTTCCTTAGAGCCTCTACTGTTCCTTTTTTTTTTTTTTCCAGCAGTTAATCCATCTTGGAGAAAATGAGAAGTCTCACCCTGTGTGAAACAACAGAAGAAATAAATTCACCTCTGGGAGGGAGGTGGTTTGTGGCAGACTCATAAACTTCATCTAGTAATTAGTGGCCTTAATTACTTTTCAGAGGTATTAAGTCTTGCTGGCTTTCTTCTTAGTATTCTGGGGTTCCCTGGCATGTGCCAGTCAGTGTACGGACTCTTTGAGAGCCTCGGCTGTTAATTGGTACCATTGGTAGTGTTGAAACGATGGTGAAGGAGTGAATCTATTTTTTTTTCCAGACCAGTGCTGTTTTTTAGATTCTTATCTTCCCCTGTATCCTCATCCACTTCTCCTTTTTTATCCATTTCTCTTCCCTAACTCGGACCCAGTTAGCCAGTCAGAAGATATAAAATTACATTTTATTTATTTGCCCTGTTATGCCAAAGCAATAGGTTTTACACTCCTTGAACATAAGTGTAGTAATGTTACCTTAATCATATGAACTGTTCAGGAGCTGCGATTGATAGATTGAGATGGCTGCACATGTGTTTTTATTAATTAAAATGTATTAATTTCAGATTACAGAAATGTAATTAACAACTATAGTAAAGTCTCTTAAAAGACATAGTCTGGAAGTCCATCTAGAGTTGATTTTTTTCACAGCAATTACAATTAAGTAAAAATGTTCAAATTATGTAAATAAATAGATTAAGTAAATGCAAATCTAAATGCTGATCAAACATAGTCCAACTACTGAGCCTTGGTCACCTGTTTGCCTCAGACACTATAGAAAATGCTTTATGCCGGAGGTTATTGTTAAGGGTAAACAAGTTGCTGTTTTACTTAGTTTGATAATTTGATCCCAAAATATGTATCCTAGGATCCATTTAGAACAGAGGAAGTGTGGAAAAATAAGGAACGTAAAACAAGATTTTTTACCTCCAGATTAGGCCCGGATGATATGGCCAAAATTTGATGTTAATCTATTGGTCGGTTAAGGTCGATACTGGTGGTGTAAATTAGAAAGAATTTAGCAGTAATATACGTATCATAGTACATGTGTAACGATACAATACATTATTTAGATCTGGAAAATGTCTCAAGAAGTCGTTACTGCTCTGCTGCGGTCGGTGAGGAGCAGCTGAATAAAGGGTTCATGGGCGACAGGCTGCCAACTAGTGGCTGGAGGGTTAAAGTCGTAGGGAAGTCGTATTTAAATGTCAAATCATTCTGGCTTAAGCATGTATATAAATATACTCTTTATCAGACTATATTGTCCCAAAATTTAGAAAATTTCTTTAAAAAAAAAGAAAGAAATCCTGTCTTAAAATCTGTGGTGTTGTTTTTTTTTTTTTTTTTTTTTTTTTTTTTGACCTTATGCAGGCCAGTTAGTTCTACGTCAGCCTGAACACATAAATTCGGCCAATCATATATCAACGGTCATCTGTCAATCAAATTTTTTCGGTTATAGCATCTTGATTCATATGTCGCAGCTAATATACGCAACAGTTGGAATAAGAAATAGGAATCGTTCCTTTCCCATTGAGTTCCGTCCCAGTGTTCACGGGGATGGACGTCTGTGTCTTCAGCAGGCGTAGAGCTAACAGAACTGGCAGCGTTGTGAGGCAAGGGCTCAATCATGTACGGCTGGAAGCCTTCTACACCAAACCAAGCTTCTGCCGCCCTGGCGTCCTCTTCCACAACATCTTCGTCCCCGCTTTCCTCCTCTAAATAAAAAATGGATGACGGAGGAGACTCATCCACGACCTCCGACACTAAACTCTCCTCCTCTTGCATGTTTCCTCTGTCCATAGCGTTCCTTGACAGTGTTGTTTCTAAGTCACCAATTTAGTGCTACTTGGCCCCAATGGAATTTCCCATTGGGAACCTACTAGCACTAAGTTGCTAACTGGTTAGCAAGATGCTTCCGACAATCCAGCCACAACCAAACTTGCTTGCGAACCTTCAGAAATCCCGCCCCCTTGATAAACGACCAATCACATTCACTTCATACACCTCTAGTGGAGACAATATAAATTCGATATCTTTATAAACGGAATAAGACTCAGAAAGACTCAAGAATACTCTTTCAATATGACATTTTTAAAAATATTTGTTGTAAAACTAAATACGCATAAAACTAGTTAAAACCTGGGATGTCAGTCAATGACAAATGCTTTTATCAGAGCTTGTAATGCATATTAAAATACTGTAAATCTCATATGACATTTATTAATAGAATTATATTGCAAAATACATTGATGTTGAATTTTACCCTTCTTCAGAAACCCTTCAGATAGACTTGCTCATCAGGCTGCTGACTCATTAATAACCTGTCTTGTGACAGCGGCCTGACATAGTCAGGCCTTTGTTTCTTCATTCTTTTAAACAGCTCTTGTTTCATAATCAGAGATTTAGAGTATTAGAGTATTTAGTATGGAGAAATGCCATGCCGGTCAGAAGAAATCTACTCCTCAGCTAGATTTGGACCTTTGAGGATTTAGAGAAGGCGCACTTTATCACCAAATAAGAATAAATTCTTCTGTTTCACTAAATATCATGATTTTTCACTGCTGACATGTTATCAGCATTAACAGTGACTCTCTGTTTAAGAGACGTGGGTCTCAAAGGCTTTGTGTTTTAGAAAAGGGCGTTTTAGGCTTGTTTTTTCATGAAACACAAGCTGAATTTGTGTTGCATTATAATTTTGTAGATGTTGTTTATATTCAGACTTGGGTCTCTGGTGCTTTTTGTAGACATTTGTTAGAATACTACAGGCAAAACTGGTGTCCAATAGCTAGTGGAAGTTTAGAAGTTTTTGGTTTTTAAATTGATCGCCGTTCCTTTTTAGAAATCAAATCTGATGAAACCACATAAATGTTTGGAAAATCAATCTTTCACCAAGTTCGGCTTGTTTACAAACCCAGGACCAGGTTCACATAAGACCCGTCTTTAGACAGTGGACTACTACCATGGTGGCATTGATTTCTCTGCTCTAGTTAAAACATTGTTTTAATTCCCACATATGCAAGAAGTGGATTAATCCAGACTTTTAACAAGGAAGCCGGCTAGAATATCTTCTAAGAACATCAGCAACAAACCATCTCTATTGTAACAAATGTTAATATTTCAGAATGACTGCTTGCTTTATTTTCTGTGAAATAATGAGCTAAAGAAGTAGGCTTGCCATAGTTGAAACACAACAACATAGGCTATGTTCACACTGCAGCTTAAAGTGACCCAAATCAGATTTATTTATTTATTTAATCCGTGTATGGTTCTTTCTTTGGGTTTTTCGTTTGGAAACAAAAACGAAAAAACAAAACAAGCATGTGGTTTTTCTGTTTTTCCATTTTTAAAACCTAAATCGCAAAAAAGAAAAATCGAATGAATAGAAAATCCACAGCGTTTGAGTGTTTTGCCATCTAAATAAAGATAAAATAAGGTTGTTGTTTTAATATGTAGCGGTTACATGTGAAGTTACATGGCCTCAGTGGTCCTTTTGCAAATTACGTGCATCGTATCGATTTAATTTTTACCTTCTTTGTTTTTAAAGCCAGAATGCATCAAAGCATTTGACTTGAAATGTGATGGAGCTGGGGGGCGAATTTTCTCAGTCTCCTCCATATTTTGTTTACGAATGACTCGTCTCAGTATCCCGCGGCCGCAAATGCTTGTGACACAAAGCAGCGAGCGTCAACACATCCGCAGCGACATCTGCTGGACTGGAAGTTGTATTACACTTGATTTGGCTGATGTGTGCCAACCATTCATGTATTTTATTTGTTCATTTATTTATTTATTTTTTAATAATCCATTCTTGCCTTCAAGAATCGATGTAGTAGATCACAAAAATTAGAATCGCGATGCATCGTCATGACGATTATTTTGCACACCCTTACACCAGGTTGTAGGAGTCGTTTTAGTTTCTCGACTGGTTCCACAGCGAACTCCCTATCCAGTTCTCTGCTAACCAGCATAATTGGAAAGATGGGAGACTGACCAAATTTAGGAGCTATACAAAGAAAAGGAAAAGATTTTAAAACATTTTATTGGAACCCTTTGTGTCTCACTGGTAATTAACTAATTTTTTGACCAGAGGCGACATGGCCTCCAATTCTGGTCCCTAACTGTTTTCCCTCATTTCTAATCACTCCATGGTTTTCTAATTGTGCTACATGAGATCCTGCAGTGGTGACTGTTATACAAGTGGTCATGATGTGAACTCCATCTTTAGACAACCTGAAGTTGGTTTCAGGGGCTGTAGATAATGGCACATGTCCCTTAGGTAGAGGCTTAAGTTTATTCGTATGTAAAGGTATATGTATTGTTAGTAAATTCAGATTTGTAGATTGTTTTCATTCATTTGATATTATTTTTAAGTGATATCCTATAACTTCTATTTGTTTCCAGCTTATTTGCAGATTTTAACCAGCAAATGTGTGGCATAATTAGAAACTTAATTTGTATTAAGTACTTATGGATGTAGAAGAACCCCTCTGGAAAAACTAAACTAAATTCAGCTCAGCATTGTTGTCTTAACCAGTATGTTTATTGGTCAACAGGCAAGTCTAGTTATAGTAGTTTTGTTTGTTGTTGTTTTTTTTTTTGGTCAGTAGCTTTTGTAGATACATTCCCTGAAAAATCAGTCATGCAAAGACAGCCTCCAGTCTCAATGTCAGCGTTCAAAATACACTGTTTCTGGTGAATGCATGGACCCTATCATCATTCAGTACTATGCTACCCATAATGCATGAGGGTGAGCAGATGCTGCTAACATTTCTAATGGAATGAGGGAAATGCTTCTGCTCTGGAAAATTCTGCTAATACTTCTACTTCTTACCCGTTTCATTTCAATCTGCCTGTGAACCACTACCTGTCACATGGTCACATTAACCACCATGTCCTGTCTGGAGTTCTCTTGATGGTTCTCAACTTTATTTGTTTTTAATCTTGTGAATTATTCTTTGGCTTCATAGTTTTGTCTACTTTTCAAATTGATTACCTCTTAATGGTTTTTAAAGTATTTGTAAAACTGTATAAATGTTTCACAGTTCAGAGGCTGAGAACCATCGATCACTTCAGGTTTTTACAGCCAAACCTGGTTTATTGCAACATAAATGCCAGACTTTTAATGGTAAAATGTAAAATATACCTGTTTATTGTACGGGTCCTCCTGGTTTGACAGGTGCATGTAAATGATAAACAAAACAGGTTGCTTTATTATGCGTTTTTTGGGATGAACCAGGATTGACTGTAAGCACTAAATGCATTTCTTTGCAATAACTGGATCTAACAAGCCTGATTACAAGGAAAGACATTTCAGAAAAGCTGAAACAAAGAGCTGCATGTATGTAGGTTTTTTATTTGGTTTCTCATTTACTCCTCCACTTTTTCTCCTGCAGGCATGTGGTGACCCAAAGGCCAAGCCCTCCTATCTTGTTGACAAGAACCTGGAGTCTGCCGTTAAATTTATCGTAAGGAAGTTTCCTGCTGTGGAGACGCGCAATAACAATGTAAGTTTTCTAAAATTTCCATCTAGTGTTTTTCCTGCTGTATCATTCATGTCTGCAGGTCCTGTTGTTTACCTGAGCTACAATAATCAGCTTAAAACAGCTTCTGTCCTGTTTCTGAAATACTGATGGAAACTTTTATTAGCCATTATGGTGGAAAAGGAGCTGCAGGATTCCCCTTGCAAGGAGCATTGAAGTTTGAATGCATTAAAAGTTATTTTGTGTCAACATTTAAAGGAGCATATTTACCTTACATGCCTGTACAAAAAAGACCAGAGCCTTTTGATCCTGATAAAACTATATTAAATAAAATTATCTGTCCTAATGTTGTTTAGATTGTCCTTTTTCAGCCTAAATAGAATTCCAGCCCTGGGGTCGGTTTCAATAAACAGGTTCTCTAAAGCTAAAATTGGGAAACTGAATTTTCCATTTTACAGTGAGCTTAACCAACCTCTGTTTCAGTCACCATGGTTACATTCTCCCCAGAACTAACCTGGGCGGGAGCAGAGTGTCCTCTTCTTCTGCTCTCCTTAGAGCCAGTCACATAGTTTTATTTCCCCATTTAGTCAGGAAATTATTGTCATAGTGTTGTGCATCAAAAAAAAAAAAAATAATAATTCACTGGGTCCGTTAAACACATTAGGTTTTAAAAACAAACATTTAATTTCCTATTGAGGAGGCTCTTATTAAAGAATTGTCTCATTGATATGCAGAGAATTGAATATTTATGGGCAGAGGATTCTACAAATCAGTTCACAAGATGTGAGATTTGTTTGCTTTTGGATTGTTTTATATGAGCAACATGCGGGATAATATTTTTTATTTATTTTTATAGTACTTGAAGAACCAGTGAAATTATTTTCAGATTACACGTAAATATCCAGCCATCCATTTTCCATCACGCTTTATCCCAGCTCGGGTCACTGGAGCCTATCTCCAGCTGTCTACAGGCCAGAGGCGGGGTCCACCCTGGAAAGGTCCATTGCAGGGCAACACAGAGACAAACGGGACAAACAACCATTGACACATTCACACCTAAGGAGAATTTAGAGAAGCCAATTAACCTGACAGTCATGTTTTTGGACTGTGGGAGGAAGGTGGAGTACCCATAAATAGATTAATTAATTCCGCGCGGGGGGGAACAAATTACCTTAGGGTTAGGATTAGGATTAATTCAGTGATAACAGCCTAACAAGCCTACTAGCACAGTCTGAAGCCATTCTATGGGACTGATAACCACTAATGATGGCCATTTACTGGGAAGAGAACATCCAAAGCAGCTATAAAAAGACACTTGGTATTTACTGTGTGATGGAAGACAGAATCAACATGAGGAGGAACCCAATGAGATGATTAACATGTTCTATATATTAGAACAACGTTTTTAGACTTCATCTTTACCTGCTGCTTGATGATTTCCCCTAAATGGATACATTGATCTACCACCATTCAAGAAGAAAACCTAGAATGTTATTGTGATTACAACAGGCTATGGCAGGCTGTTTGGATATGTATTCATTTGACTGAATATGTGTTTCAAAATGAGCATTTCAGACCAAATGAATAAACATTTTGGATGGCTAGAAATAAATTTCAGATCTCCATATCCCTATTTTTACCGGTCATGTTATTTTGACAATGAAGAAACAGATTATATCATTAATATCATTAATACATATTCAGTCAAGCTGATAAATGTCAAAAATATTTCTAGATATACCAAACTTAATTCTTAGTATTACAATTTAGTTTTTTTTTACTTTCTGAAATTCAGTTTTTGCTGCAAAAAAGTAATTTAGAAAATCTGTTCCCACCGTTCCAATTAGGAGTGTAATTTTGAACAGGAAGAATCCTATTTTATAGATCTACAAATGAAAAATGGAGAGGAAAGTGCTTTTAATAAATGTCAAAATGGCCTGCCATAGTCCATTTCAAATAAACTTGCGCATTACCTCCAGGAACATTCTTCTCCTACGCCATCTACCTCTCCTTTGTAGCTGTAGCAATGTTGCAACACATTTTCCTTCTTTTTTTTTCATTTCTGCATTAAAATCATAAAAATGGTGACTCATTAAAAATGGGTGCTCCACTGATAATGGCTTTCTATACTTATTACGCACGTGCTCAACTCTGAGTGGATCTACTTAGAGTTGAAAAAACTAGATCACAGCAGCCGCTGCAAAACCGAAAACTCAAGAGTTCCCAACCTTAGGCTAGATCAATTTAGAGTTGTGGTTTTGAATCCGAGTTGTTACACCTGATTCTTGAAACTGACCCTTGGGATGAGCAGACATAGGCTACATTCACACTGCAGGCCTTGATGCTCAATTCTGACGCCGAGCGTCCCAAACCAACGCCCCAGCAAAAATGTAAGCGCATTTCCAGACCACCACAAGGATCCCACACAAAATCCTAACTGAATCAAGTCCTCCAAATATGACAAGCCCCCAATATGTTATGGCCCGCACAGGGCACACAACATATGAAGTCCAGACCAAGTTACACAGACAAAGGTTTTATTTAGACTGTGGCTGGACATAGAGGTACTGGGGAACCGTGGCAACAGAAGGATGGGAGCATTCGCAAACCAGCCAGCAGTTGACCGTCGGATCCGGGCCGCTCCCCTCGCCCTGCCTTGCCGGATCAGTCGCCCTACAACCAAAAACCGGAAAACCACAGTTCGGCCAACGGTCCCCAGACCTAACAACCCGAGGGAAGGTTAACAAACAAAAAAACACATCGAAGGAGCGGGAGCGAGGCTTGGAGACACGCCACCACACAGGAGTACTCCCAAACTTCCTCGCTCCCCCGGTGGGTTGGGCTTGATCCCTTTAAACTCTCCCCAGCCAATCAACTGCAAGAAGAAAACAGCAATTAGACAGTGATTCATTCACAAAAGTGACAGGAGCCCGTCACAATCTGATCTGTGTTGTTCAGACTGCCATGAAAAGATCAGATCCAGGTCACATATGGGTAAAAAAATCGGATTTGGGTCACTTCAGGCTGCTGTGTGAACGTAGCCATAAATATTCAGCATCCTCTACTGGCAGTACTCCAGAACTTTCCATGCCAGGAAGCGACCATCTTGCAATGACTTGCTATAAACTGACACTTTAGCCTAGTCAAAGACCAACTGATATTAATTAAACTGATCAACAGCAACTCTTGATTTCTAGCCTAACCTAACGTCAGAAAAAAGGCCAAATTACCTCCTTGGAATGCTGGTAAGTTTAGCAAAGGCCTGGCCATCAACCATTAATTTCTCTTCAGGCACTGGAGAACAGACGTTACCTATCTCTGTTCTATGGTTTGGAAATAAGTGCATAACTATAAACCAAATAGAAATACAATTTCATCTTATTTTAAGGTTTTCTGAGGTATTATTCTTATAAAGTCCAAATCATTTAATCCAAGTGAGCAATAGCAAAATATGCAAGCAGCACTTCTCTTTAGTTTGATAACATGACCAATTAGCAGTGGCTCCTGTCACGTTATCTTTAGAAACCAAGTTGTTTGTTCAATAAGGAAATAAGAGGTGTGTTCCAATGTTGAATATGTTTGAATAAGTGCAGGTTTTTCACTGTGTTTGTGTGTTTTTGCGTACTGAGGCTCTGGTTTTTGCTCATCCTATTAACTCTGTCAGCTTCCCATGTTAATTTGTACCTTCTGGCCCCTGCTGAACATCATTTAGCAAACTGTTGTTTTTATCTGTAAAACTGTGTTGTTGTGTGCTATGCTAACTGCTTTATTCAGTATAACAGTGCAACGATTGTCTCTTATGTTGTTGTTTTGTTTTTTGTTTTGTTTTTTCTGTGTTTGTTTGTGTTCTGCATGCTAATCTTGGCTTATTCCGGACTTGTGCTTTTTGGTAAGTTTTTTTGGAACCAAGTTCCTGTAACTTCTTTGAATTTTAGTTGATGTACCTTTTGTTTTGTGAAGTACATTTTTGTAGCTGTGTTCAAATGTGATTGAGGTGGGTTTTGCTTTGCTCCCCCCTTTCCCCACTGCCAGCAGCACCTTTTTTCTTTCACTTTCTCTCCTCCATCCACTGTGTGACTGATCTATCTGGATGTTAAACTACCTGGTGTGAAAGCTGCTTTTCTGCTGGTTGGTGATTTAATGACCAACTGGTTCCTGATTGGGTGACAAGCTGACTGCAATGAGGAACCCTGAAGGGCATCAGTCTAAGGAGCTAAATTGGGTCTGAAAAGTTTATTCAAAATGAAACAATTGAACCTGAAAAAAGGAGCTGAACCCAAACAAAGAAATTAAAACAATAAACAAACCAGTTTTGCAACTGAAAAAAGGGAAAACAAAGTTTTACACAACCATTCAGATTAAAGTTAAATTTTAGTTTTTGAGGGGAAACTCTTTGTTGCAGCAGCTCTGTGTAGCATCCTCTCCCTGTGAAGCTGCTTCCAGAAGCTGTAGATGGTGCTGGAACTCAGGAAGCGCCAGCATCATCTACGCTGCAGCATTTTACTTTACTAAACCTACATTTACCTTATCACCTATATCTATCTATGTGTGTGGGGGGGGGTGGGGGTTAAAGGGTCTTTGGAGCTTAAACGTCTAATGTTCAGGGTAAAGATTCTTGGTTCAGATTAAACTATTCTCTCTGGTAAATCATTTTCTGAAGCCTTTTCTGGAAGCATCCACCCTGCTCTGCTGCTCAGATCTATTTCCTTTTAGGGAAAATCTTTCCAGCATGAACAGCTTTAGCTTTGAATGTAGCGGTTTGAAATTCCCACTGACGGATACCCTGAAGTAAAAATGCAGTTTCATGATGTTAATTTAGGGGTGGAATAAGAAAAGTCATGAACTGACTGCAGTTATTTAAAATGACCCATCATTCCCTCATTTAGCACCCAGGATCATTTCCAAACAGCCCAGCTGCTTCTCTTTCAGCCAGCTGACAAGAAGCTGCATTATTTTACACTCTGAATAGACAGAAAGCCAAAGAATTAGCACTGCCCCTCCCCCACCTGTTGCTACAAACAGTCGTTTTGCCTAAAAGCTTTGGCTTTTTGAGAAATTTTCTGGTTGTAAGAAACGTAGTCTGTCAAAAAAAGTTATCAAACATTTTTTACTCATTAAAATTTATGTTAATTTAACTGCAGTAGGAAGAAGTGTCACCTGAACAAAAGCAGATAATTTTTTCTTTGAAACCCTTTTGAATGACAATAATTCATGGCATTCTTTTTTACTAAAGGTTATTTGTCTGTGAGAATCTAGTATGACGTATCTCTACCCTTTAGCTAACTTTTATTATCCTTTACTACCTCTATTGAAGGAAAGATGATTTTCCCATAATGCAAAGCAGGTGCAGAAAAACAAACAACCAAAAAAGTTAAATGATTGTGAAAATTCACCTCATCTTTAATGGTTTTACAGCAACAGTTGGCTCAGCTGCACAAGGAGAAGTCTGAGATCCTGAAGAACTTGGCTCTCTACTATTTCACCTTTGTGGATGTCATGGAATTCAAGGCAAGTAAAGAACACAGTCGTTTTCTAAAGTTTCTTAACTGCAGTGCTTAAAGCAATGACATCTGTCTGTAATTAATGTTGTTGTTCTTCCAACCTTGGCTCCGGTGATTAATGTAATGCTGTGAATATTTTCCATTTTATAAGGCAAATTCTTCTTTGGGTTATTCCCAAACTATTCCCAGTTCTTTCTGCTAAAGCAAACCAGCTTAATGTGCCGTTAAGTCTTATTCTGTGCATTTTATTGGACTGAATCTTGAAAGTTTTAATGCATAGTGGGCATTGGCAATCAGAGGTTATTCCTTTGACAGAACAAGGAATGGATCAGCAACTCTGTCATATGCTGCCATGGGTTAGCATTTTCATCTATGGTCACTGGCATGAACAGCCACATTTCCTTGATGTTCTGCTGCCTCTAACGAAGACAAGTCTCTCCATCACGGAAGATGCAGCCTTGCAATCGAGACCGTTTGGCATTGCAGGGTAAATGCATTTATCAGTTGCTGGTGAAGATTCACAGTCATCCAGGTCATAGACATTCTAAAGAAAGATTAAAAACAATCCACTGCACGTTGTTTCCAAGTTTGAAGACGTTTCCCTTCCCATCCAGGAAGCCTTTTCAATTTAAAGTCAGAAATAGCGTTGAGTTGCTTTATACAATAGCCCAACAAAGCCTTGTTTTTGCCTCGGCAAGATGCAAATTGAAGCGGACATATGGCTCCAGCCCTTTGGAATCGTGGTCGTTTGTCTACTGACACCCCATCAGAGACATAGACAGGTATGGGACATTGCAGGCTAACAAAAGAAGCCAAACCCCCCCCTATTCTGACACTTAAATTGAAAAAAGCTTCCTGGATGGGAAGAGAAACGTCTTCAAACTTGGAAACAAAGTCCCTTGGATTGTTGTTGAACTTTCATGGAACATTTATCAGTTGTTTTTTGGTAACATTTAAATGTGCATAGCAACAATATGTACTACAAAAAGACCAAAAACCATTTGATCAGGATAAAATAAGTTTGTATATTCCAAGCATCCACCCTAATAGTGTTTAGATTTAGTTCTATTTCAGCCTAAATAGAAATCCAGCACCAGGTGTAATGAGCTGGCGTCAATATTTTGGCACCATCTGCTGGCAGTATCACAGAACTACCAGAAAGCCAGATGGCCACTACTAAATAAAGCCCAACCTTTCTGCCATTCCTCGCAGTAAAAGAATAGCTCAGTTTGATCGAGGACAAACTATATCTATTTAATAGACTACTTCCTTGGTTTCTCCAAGGGCTCATGTACAGTATCGTACCTGCAATACTATTGTAAAAATGCACAAAGTGCGTTATTTACTAACAGGATGAGTAAAAACAAAGTGTAAAGAAAAATATCAATATGCCAGCAGGGCCTGGTCAACTATTAGAATTGCATTTATTGTATTATTGTATGCAACCCGTTAGTGACTGGCATAAAGGTCTAAAAATGTATAATAATGTTACCTTTAGCAAAATAAATGAATAAAAAGGCTTTCCAGCTCAATAGTCAATATAAGCGTTTTTTATTTCAAGACTTTTAAGCTGTGTTTTTGCTGCTTTCATCAGGACCATGTGTGCGAGCTGCTCAACACAATTGATGCCTGCCAAGTCTTCTTCGACATTGTAAGCTGGGTCATTTTCACTTTTTATTTTAGACCATCTTTTACTTTTACCTGGAAGCTCTAATGAGAATAAAGGTGTTTTAATTATTGAGGCTTCACTACTTTTTAAAACTGTGATCTGTTTTGTGGAGGTTGTTATTTCTAGATGTTCCTGTTTTTGTTTCTCAGACTGTGAACTTTGACCTGACCAAGAACTATCTGGACCTGGTGGTGACATACACCACTCTGATGATAGTCCTCTCCCGCATAGAGGAGAGAAAGGCCATCATAGGACTGTACAACTATGCCCATGAGATGACCCATGGAGCCAGGTGATTAATGAAAGCTTAGTTTAGTTGCTCTTTTAGTTTGAATCATCCAGACCTGATGCTCTGTGCCATCCAACTCTAATAAAGCTTAAGCAGAGGCTATAACGTGTGTATTAACCCAGGATGTTTGGCTTTCAGTGACAGGGAATACCCCAGGCTGGGTCAGATGATCGTCGACTACGAGAACCCTTTAAAGAAGATGATGGAGGAGTTTGTACCACATGGAAAGGTGCCTATTCTGCTCTTATTAGGGATGTTAAATAAATGCTTTATTAGATAAAGATTTGTTCCAGTTATTCAGTAAAATGTCCACCTTAGAGTTTCTTTCAGTGCTGCTATATTACCGCCATCCACTACAGGATGTTGTTCATTCCTATGGGAAGCTCATTTGGATTTGCAACAGAAGTAATGCCAAAGCGGAGGGATGCTAGGGCAGAAACAGGAATGAATCCAAAGTCCAGTTTGGGATTATTTGCACTGTTTAAAGCTACAGTGTGTAATAATTACAGGGATATACAGTCAGAAATGTAATATATTATACATAACTATGTTATTTATCATCATCTACGAGCTCAGCCTTTTAACCATAATATTTGCGTTGCCTTAGAATTCGTTATTTATAATTACATAGGAGCGGGTCTCCCAGCCATGGAGGCAGACATCTTTGCTCTACGGCAGCGCAGAGCCAACAAACTAGCGATTGAGAGATCGCCCATTACGCTCGAAAGTAACTACAGCAAGTTGAGAGAGATGAACTGAGACGGTACTGAAATCTGTTCCCTACTCAGACTAATGAAATACTATCTGTAAAATTATCTATGTAAACAAACCTCATCACTTGAGAAGGTAGGTGATGCGGACGTCGTGGAAGACATTTTGTCCCGTAACGCTCGCCGTACTGTTGGGGGGGAGAAGCGGTGGGGGGGAGATGTTAATGTTGCTGCCGTCTGCAGTCTGGACGCTAGATGTCGCTGAAAATTACACACTGTAGCTTTAATGGTGACAAGGATGCTGAATGACTTCATGTAGTTCCATCTAAATAACGGCACTTTATCCATTGTTTTGAAGGCGCTGCTTGCAGATCAAAATGTCTTCCAGCACTGAATGATGTGCTAAAAACATAGAGCTATAACACAGTTCCCATCCGCTTTATTGAAATTAGGTAGCATATAGTCTGATGGTATGTCAGAGGGACATACCCTGTCTGTTAATGATCTCTGTTAATTGGAAATCATGTTTGCATACATTGTTTATCCATTTTAAATCAATAAGCTAGTAGGTTACTGTTTTGTTATATCTTCTAAATAATAGTTTAATAAAGTGTAAGAAACCAGTAGTTTGTTTATTAATGTGGGAGTGGTGGCCTAGTGGTTAGAGCACTGAAATTAGAGCAGGTAAATTTCTTGAGTGTGAGATCAATAAATTTCAAATATTATTATTATTGATTCAGACGGAAAAGTGCAAAACTCCCACTAAGAGTCAGAGTCCTGGCGATGGAGGTGAATGAAGGGTGGGCTGTTAATTTAGGTTGCTTCGGTTTTACATCCGACTGCTTCTTTCAGCCTGTGACAACGAACAAACTCCTTTCCATGATCGACTCTTGTTTTTCCTCGAGCACAGTCCCTTTCACATTTGCCGTTGTTTCGAGGGGTGGTGTGAAGGGAGAGGCATGGTTGTGCATTTTCAAAACTATAGCTTGCTGGAACCGTTTTTCCAAGATCTCCTACGGCTCCTTTAAAATACCTCGTAAAATACTCGTAAGTCTACAGTGTGTCTTTAGTCTGTATGTGATAAAGCTGCTATAATAACTAGAATATAACGATGTATCAATTTTGATAAATTCAGCATAAAAAATTAGTTAAAGGAAAGAAAAAACTAATTTTAAAAAATGTCCTTTTATCATTAATTTTAGGTTTACCGTAATTTTTGGACTATAAGCCGCGACTTTTTCCCCATTTTTCGACCTTGCCGCTTATCTATGGACTTTTACAGCTAACGGCCACTAGGGTAATACCTAAATCTATGGATTTTACCATCCACCATGTTAAGTCACATTTGCTTCAACACACAAGTACGGTAGCCCCGCGTGCGGAAATGCGGAGGTACTCCGGAAGCAGAGTGGTACGAGACAGAACGACAGCGAGAAAGACGGACATTGCGAGCGCAAGTCAGTTTGTGTGACACCCTCATTATGGAAAACAAACGTACCGGTAGAAATATTAAATAAGAGCTTCCCCAAACAGTTGCCTCTTTACCGACAATCCTCTCTGTGAACGAACCATATGGTAATTAAACATAAAAAACCTGCGGCTAATAGTCCGGTGCGGCTTGTATATATGCAAATCGTGCAATTTAGCTTCTGCGGCTTATATTCAGGTGCGGCTAATAGTCCGAAAATTACGGTATTGATAAGATCAATATACTTTAGATTAACTTAATTGATAACTTGCATCTCTGTGCGGTCTGATAATATAACAAGAGGAGAAGATTTTATTTTCTACAATAGGGGTATGCATTTTGTGTTGTTTGTTTTAATGTGGTGAATTTGCTCCTTCTGTTTCCTTGCAGTCGCTGTCTGATGCATTGATCAGCCTTCAGATGGTCTATCCCAGGAGAAATCTGTCTGCTGACCAGTGGAGGAACGCTCAGCTGCTCTCACTGATCTCTGCTCCTTCCACAATGCTCAACCCTGCCCAATCAGACACTGTTAGTTCTCAACTGCCTCTTTGAGATGTTACAAAATGTGTTACAAAAATGTGTCCTGTAAAATCTTCAAGGAGTTCAGCAGAAAGAACTTATTTTGGTTTTGTCTCTGCTCAGATGCCTTGTGAATACCTCTCACTGGACGCTATGGAGAAGTGGATCGTGTGTAAGTTTTACTGAACCCTAACCTGGGCCTCTGCCACGGCAATAAATATATATTTTGATAGAAAGATTTCCGGGCAGGACCTAAATGCTTTTTTCTGTCTTATCACTATTAATTGCCACTAGATGGCCTCAGTGTCCACATGAAGCTTATACCACGCGACAAGAAATGAACCATTTATTCCAACGAATTAGCATAAGAGCTTGATGGCTTAAACAAAGCCTCATCTTGACGTCACTAGACGTTTCCATGTAATGTGGAAATAATTGTCGGCTCTAAAATGATTAGGGCTGCAGTGTGTAATAGTTGCAGGGATTTACTGACAGAAATGTCTAGCACTAACAATCGGCTTTTGGCTCTTTTCCCATTTGACCGAAAAGCCGAATCTGACCCAATGCTAGCAAGTTGCGCTGCCACTTTCCTCCACCACTGCATGCCTGATGACGGCATCACGGTGGGTTGGCGTTGATGATGTCGACAGTGCGATGGAAATCAGGGAAGTAGAAAATGGAGAGCAACACGTAAATACAACATATAGAATTAGGATTATTTGGTCACACAGACCACGTCGGTACACACCTAAATCATTTTCTGGATACATTCCTCGGTTACTTTCTCTGAGCTTCGAATCTTACCTCATGGGCTGAAGTCACCCCGCTAGCACCTCTCCCTCGCCTGGCCCTGACTGGACGCCCACTGCGGCCTCTTTCCCCCTTCCATCTAATAACCCTTTGCTAAATTCAAGACTTGGACTCTGTAAACAGCAAATGTATGCTTCCAACTAACACAAACTATAAACTAACCAACTGCAATTACATCTGTTTATATCACCATAGCAGCTCACTAAAACAAGGCGAAAATGTGGAACAAATATCTGGTACATTTGCTATCATATGCCTATAGAAATATATATTACACAGAGTAAAAAAATACTATTTGTAAAATGATCCTTTTAAAAAACGTCCTCATCATTTGACAAGAAAGGTGATGCGGACATTGCGGTTGGCATTGTGTACCATGAAGGCCTCCGTATTGTTGGGGAGGGCCGAGCATGAGTGGAACTGTTCATGTCGCTGCAGTTTGCAGTCTGACCATTAGATGTCACTAATAATCAAACACTGTAGCTATAATATGACTTTGGCTAACTTTATTTCATTAAGTCTGATCACAAAACTCCTATGCATTCAGTTCTTTATTGAATTACATTATATTAAAATGTAAAATCTGCTTCTCAGACGTTGGGAAGATAAGCCTCATGTCTAGCTTTATCTAACAGGTGTGCAGCGAATACTTTTGTGCAATTTGGACAACAAAACATGCTCAATTTCAGGTTTCAAAATGGAGAATTAATAGAAAATGTTTTTTCCCATCATATAAGGCTGTTAGATTTGGGAGGAGAGCTGCATACCTCTCCTGAAGCAGGGTAGCGAACTGCCCACCCTTTGACGTGTTCCTCTATGCTCTCCCTGCAGTTGGGTTCATTTTGTGCCACGCGGCGCTGAACAGCGACCCGGCAGCGCTGTCCCTGTGGAAGCTGGCGCTGCAGAGCTCCACCTGCCTCTGTCTGTTCAGGGACGAAGTCTTCCACATCCACAAGGCTGCAGAGGACCTGTTCGTTAACATCAGAGGGTAGGAGCTCATAAACACACAGACCCCATTTGTCCTACCGTTCCGTCCAAGAAATCCTTTAGATTATTCAGAAGTTTCCTCGCAGAGACAAAAGGAGGAACCCAAAGATTGATTCCTGTCTTTTTGCTTTTTGTCAGGTATAACAAACGCATCAATGACATCAGAGAGTGCAAAGAACAGGCGCTGTCCCATGCGTGAGTGTCACTGTAATCCCGTTAGCATTCCTTTCATCATATCTTAACTTAAACACACAGAACCTTTATTTTCCCTCCCACTGTATATATTTTGTTCTCCTCTTTATGGCTTAGCGTTTCTTTATTTTTTTTGAATGTGTCATGTCAGTTTCTCTTTCTCCCCACTGCGTCTTCCTCCGGGAGTCTCACTCTGAAACTTTTCCTTCTTTACCCGTTCTATCCTGTGTTCTTTGTCTCATCTCTGCTTCTATGCTTATTACTTATGCCATGTTTTCCTTTCATCCTGAGTGTCGCTTTGCTGTCACTCAACTTCCCCTTACTTTCTCTCCTCTTTGGGATTGTCCTGAAAGTGTCAAAATCTAGTTTTAATCATGCATCTTGTATTAAAGTCTGCCTCCTTCTGTCTGGCTGTCTGCAGTGGCTCCATGCACAGAGAGAGACGCAAGTTCCTACGATCCGCTCTGAAGGAGTTGGCAACCGTTTTAGCCGACCAGCCTGGACTTCTAGGCCCAAAGGTAACAAAGAAAACCCTACAAGCACCTTTTGGTTTAAGCCCTTCAGCACGGATCCCCTGTCTTGATAGTATGAGCACTAATGATTGTCTTTTTACTCTGTTTTTAATGTTATGGTCTTTTAAACTTGTTTTAATTTTCCCTTTTTTTAAATGTAGCACTTTGAGATTTGAAGTCAAATGTAAAGTGCGTTATAAATAAAATTCATTATTATTATTATTATTATTATTATTAAAGAGCTGGTATGGAGGGGATTTTCTTCCATTATTGTTGCAGCCAAAGAAAGCATCCCAAAAATGGAAAAGATAAAGAAAAGTATAAAAATGTTTTATTTAAAAAAAAAAAAGGTTTAAGAGTAACTTTGCTGTTTGCTCAAATTTTATTTTGTTCTTTTTTTTTTTTTTTTTTTTTTTTACAAATTTTCTATTTTAACTTTTTTTCAATGTTTTTTTTTTTCAAATTAAGTTTTACAAATAGCAATCTTCTCTGAAATCTGAAAAAAAAAAATAGAATTTAAACAAGAAAAAAGACATTTAAAAAAGTGCAATTATAAATTTTTTTTAAAAATCATAATTTTAGGGGGAGAAATATATTTAATAGAGAAGTAAAATTAGAGAAAACAGCTGAATTGCATTTTTTCTTTCTTTTGCAAAATGTATTGACATTTTTTTCACTCGTGGGGGCGGCCTTTCCTCCAGAGCAGGGCTCGGCTACCAAACTGTTCAAAGAGCCATATTGGACCAAAAACACAAATCAGTCTGGAGCCACTAAAAGGTTAAAGCCTTAATAAGCCTTGTATGGCAACCAAGGCTCTAAGTGTATTAGAACACTATAAAAAAAAGCCTGTTTGGACTTAAACTTAAGTATTTATGATTAAATGCATCCTGGAGCAAATGTGACATCATCTGACTACTCTGCTTCATGTTATTTGGTGCTTTAAGTTTAAATTCCATTATATATTATTCTATTAGCTTTTGCTGCATTGATGAAATTATAGAAAGACAATAAAGAAATCAGATTTTTGGTGTCATTTTTATTTTGAGAATTTGGGGGGGTGCAATGGAAGAAATTTCCCATTCCTGAACCAGAGCGCTATCTGTTAAATCTGCAAATGGTTTTCTATGCTTGCAACAAACTAGTAGCAGTAGTGGAGTTTGGTGATTCAATCCACTTCAATTTCAATTCAATTCAGTTTATTTCTATAGTGCCAATTCACAACACAAGTCATCTCAAGGCCCTTTACAGTTAACCAGATCATCCAGTCAGATTGATTCAAATCCACTTCAAATCCACAATCCTCTTCTTAAATCTATCTTTGCTCTCCTTCAGTTTAAGCAGAAGTTCTGCACTTTTTCTCTCACTCCCAACTTGGTGGTTGGCTGCATATTTAGCATTCCTTCCCTGGACATGCCTTTCCAAATTTCTCTATTATTTGACAACTTCTCATTACAAAGCAAACATGTAGGCAATCCTTCTACATTGTAATAAAGGTAAATAATCCTTTTGGAATCCGTGGTCCGAGACACCCACCACTTTGTTTACGACAGTCACCTGCCTGGCACCATGTCGCGCTGAAAAGTGTCTTGCAGGCTATGATGCTAATATTATATATATATATTTAAATGTTTAAATTTAATAGTTGACATTTATTTCATATACAGCATTAAACACCATTGGAAAACATAATAAATGATTGTTTGACAGCCTGCACACCATATTAAAGCAAACATTTTCATATATTTTTGAATAAGCTCCAGGGAGCCGTATATCAGGCTTAAAGGGAATTTTATCTGATCTGTTAAACGTAATTTGAAAAAATAGAATTTGAAACTCTGTAGACAATCTGTAGAAAAAAAAAAATCAATAATAATAAACAACATTTAACATAACAGAACCAGTGAGGTGATTTAACCCATCCTCTCCTACACACACTGGAAACTTTTCATAATAACATCACATATTTATTCAATGGATGCTATTAAGTTGTTATTTATATATATACAATCTTTAACGGATATAATAAACCCTCAGAGTCTTTGTTGCATTCTGCTAAGCATGATGGGTAATGGCTTACTTATTCAGTTCTTCTTTCAGTCTGATGTGTTACTATTCCCCATATGAACATCTCTATTCCTCTGGTCCTCCAGGCATTATTTATTTTCATGGCGTTATCGTTCGCACGAGATGAAATCATCTGGCTGCTCCGACATGCAGACAACATCCAGAAGAAAAGCACAGATGATTTCATAGACAAGTAAGCAGAGCCTGGCAGCTTCCTGTGGCCTCCTTCTTCATTACCAGGCTGATGGTTCGGACCTTATGTGGTTGTTCTTCAGGCACATTGCAGAGTTGATCTTCTACATGGAGGAGCTCCGAGCTCACGTCAGGAAGTACGGCCCCGTCATGCAGCGTTACTACGTCCAGTACCTGTCTGGCTTTGATGCAGTCGTTCTGAATGAGATGGTGCAGGTGAGTAGTGCTGCTTCATTAGATCCCCACGTTTAGCAGTCAGCAGTGTTTCCCATAAAATGTCCTTAGTTCTGGGTTGTTTCTTCTAATGTTTCTTCTTTTTTTAGTTTTGGTGTTTTCAATCTTTTTAGTTGACACTTAGAAATGGCTTGAACTGTTAGTAGCACACAATCAAAAGTATGAAGTTGTTGGTAGAGATATCCTGTTCATGTGACCTGGTGGTTATGAAAAAGTGGGTCTCATGCCATTTGATGTTGACTGTTGTTCTGTGATTGAGTGATATCCCTTTTCTAGCATTCCATTCTACTAAATAAGTAATGAGTATCTAGGATTCATGCTGATATCGCATAGGATCAATTCTTAAAGGTGTAATATCTGTATTGTAGCAAAAAATAAAATCATGGAATCTCTATTTTTTGAAGTTTTACCCTCTGTAAGCAGGGAATAGTTTTCTTTTATTGTAAAAAAAAAAATAAAAAAATCCAGAATTCATTTTATTGCTTTTAAAATGTATTCCTTTTTATTTCAAATAGTATTTTTTCTAATGTCTCTATATCATACAGAGTTTTAGAAACTGAAATATATTCCAATCAAGTCTTACAGATCACATTGTGTTCCCCTCTGGGGGTGGGCTTTACTCTGGAGTGAGGAGTGGTGGCTCGTTGCTATTGGTCTCCATGGCGATAACATAGGGCTGGGCGATAATTCAATAACGATATATATCGATCGATAGACGTGTGGCGCAATAGAAAAAAAAGAGTCGATAAAAATTCGATAAAAAAGAAACGCAGTTTTCCTTCCTTCTCATTGTAGCCTAGCATGTAGGTTTATGCTAGTCACTGCTTCCTCCCAACCAATCACAATCGCGGACCCAGGCACGCCGTCACCAAGCGCCGCCCTCTCAAACCACAACACAGAGCACATGAAGCTGTGCAGCAAGGAGAGGCGGAGGAAATTGTTCCAGTATTTCGGTCATGGCAAGTCGGACCAAAAACAAACCACAGTCATCTGGAAAATGTGTCGGGAACCAGTGAAAACCAAGTCTGATAACAAAACCAACTTTTTTTTATCATCTCAGCCGCTCACAGCCGCAGGAGTACGAGCTGTGTAGGCCCCGGCGCGGCTCTCCTCCGAGGAATCTTCGGGAAAATATTTATATATATATTTATATATATATATATTCAGTTCTGGGCAGTTTCCCACGTAGTTCTAACAATTGAGAGAAAAATGCTGAGGGGCCAGCAACTTCAAAGTAATAACTCAGGTTAAAGCAGGAAACTAAGCTGAACCATAACGAGGTTCCAGCAGCACCTCTAGAAGAATGGGGGTGAGAAAAAATGCCCCATAGAAATGCTAGGCTAAAGGGTGAGTTGATTTGGGTTTTTGTTCTTGTTGAGTGGAGTTTACATGGTAGCCTAGTCCTACAATCTTTTAATTACCACAAGCTGGTGGTGGACTATTCCCACCCAAATAGGGTATTCTGTTTATGTATTTGTTATATTTATTTTGGTCGCTTTTCTGGTCACTTTAGTTTATTCTTTGTCAGTATTTAATAACATAACTCAGGTCTCTTAAGTTATTTTTCTTTAAAACAATTATGTTATGGTTAAAAAAGTTGGTTAAATAAATATTTAATTGGAAGTCTGTGTTTGTGTTTTTTATTAAAATTAAATCATTTAGCAATATTATAAAAAGTCCAGGCAGAGCTGCACATAAAATATGGTTTCAAATCTTTTCAATAATTATCGATATCGATCAATATGCATTTTTTTTTATCGATAAGCTTTTTTTCTGTATCGCCCAGCCCTACGATAACATGTTGATTGGTCAAGGCTGAGCAATTTGAATTGAGCTTGAAGTGACAAGAATGTGATCTTTGAAACACAACTTGAAAAGAATACAGTCAGTATAACTCAATCTGAAAAACTGAGGGGGGAAAAAAAGAAATTTGATACGAAAATAAAATAAATGAGAAAATAACATGTTACATTAACGTGAAAAAAAAAAAGAAAACAGCAAAGTTACTATCTGAACCTTATTGATTAAGAAGTGTTTTAAAGTTTCATATCCAAACTGCATTTATTTATTTATTTATTTATTTCAATCTTTATTTATTTATTTTGTTAACTCAGTAAACGATACATTCCAAGGCAATATGGAATATAAAAAAAAAAGCACAGAACAAAAAAAAAAACCAAACCAAAGCATAACACCATAACAGAGCCTGTATATAGTTATGTAACATCCAGTATCTCCTTATATTTCAGCCATTTCCCCCATCTTTTAACAAATAGGTCTTCTTTCACTTTTTGCATTTATTTATTTTTAAGTTTCAGTTCACAAAATGTTGTCTTTGCTAACGGAAGAAAACAAAGTACAGATTTCTATCTTTGTTGTCATTCCTTTAAAAAACAAAATTAGTGAAGAAAAAAAAAAAACAGAACGGTCCTCTCTGGAAAAACCTGGTTCTATTTTAATTTCTGTTTTTGGGCTTGTTTAAACAGAACCTGTCGGTTTGTCCAGAGGATGAATCTATCATCATGTCTTCATTTGTCAACACCATGACCTCCCTGAGCGTCAAGCAAGGTCAGTTTCAATGTAACTCTGTGATGTTTGTGTCAGAAGAAAAACTCTAAAGGTAAAAAATGGAATTGGACCAAGGAACCAATCACTGGGGGTCCTGAGCCAGTGAGCAAGTAGCGGCTGGCCAATAGAGGGCGCCACCCAACCCACTCGATGACCTTGATTAAGACATACAAAAAACAGATATAATTATAAAATTTAAATATTTCAAAAAATATATTTATATATATATATTTTGTTTATTTTTTTTATGTGCAAGATAAATATTTGATCTTTAATCACGTGTAAAGCTGTTTCGTTCATTGTGGAATTTTTCGCTCAAAAATCTTTGGCTATTGACTCTCGTTGAAAGCTGCTGACAAGAACTGTTGTCTTAGTCATAGTGCTGCTGATTGACGAGTCGAGTTGCAGAAGTTGGAGACGATTTGAGAGAGAGAGAAGTGGCACAAAAAAATGAAGTGGAGTTACTTAAAGCAAACACCAAGCAAAGCTTGAGGTTAAGGTGTTAGAACCTGATCAGCTGAACATTAATCAGCAATCTAAAGACAGATGGAGACACTGTGTCTTTTCCCAGGACCTGGTTTAGCTAAAAGGCTTGGCTAACAGGATGCAGTGAGGCTTAACGCTTTATTGTGCTTTCCCTGTCCAGCGTGGATAAAGACAGGTTAGGACTCATTTAAAGCACTTTTTAGAAAAGGCAAAGAAGAAAAAACAATCTCTGATTCACATGGAAAATAATAGAATATACTGTACTTTTTCTAGGTGTTTGTTAATTTGTATAGTTGCTCTTAAATAAATACATTACCAGAAAAAAATGTATTTTTATGTATCAAAAAAATGTAAAGCTAACTAATAGCTTCTCCATTATTAAACTGGTACATTATTTTCATCATATCAGATCATGCAAAACAAAGCTTCACAAGGGCAAGATTTATGCACAAAAAGTATACCTGTACATGAAATTATGTTTTTTGTTTTTATAAAGTGTTTTTATAATGTTTTTGCTGTTGACAATCATAAATATACTGGTGTGATAACTTAGTATACGTTTAATTGGGTTTTGATATACATCTATTTTAAATTCATTGTCCGATGTTTAAAGAAAATGAAGCGGCTGTAATGCCGCTCTTCATACTGAAGGTGTTTTGTTTTCTGGTGTTGAAGCTTTTAAAAGAATGATCATTTTAGTTTTCATATCTGAGTAAATGACTGGTTTCTTTCAGTGGAAGATGGAGATGTGTTTGACTTCAGGGGGATGAGACTGGACTGGTTCAGGCTGCAGGTAGAAACACAGCGGGAAACATTTTGGCTGTTCCCCCCCCCCCCCCCCCCCCCCCCCTTTCTTTTTGACGCGTTTGTTTCCTTCTCCCCCAGGCTTACACCAGCGTTTCTAAGGCAAGCCTCGGTATAGCGGACCACAAGGAGCTGGGTAAAATGATGAACACCATCATCTTCCACACAAAGATGGTGGATTCCCTAGTGGAGATGTTGGTGGAGACATCGGACCTGTCTATCTTCTGGTAAGAAAGAAAATCTGCCACTAGTTACTTTTTGATGATTAGAAATCTTCTCTATATTCTCCCCTTTTCTTGTTGCTGTTTCCAGTTTCTACAGCCGTGCATTTGAAAAGATGTTCCAGCAGTGTTTGGAGCTTCCCTCCCAAAGCCGACACTCCATCTGCTTCCCTCTGCTCTGCGCTCACTTCATGTCCTGCACACATGAGCTTTGTCCTGAGGAGGTGAGGGAGCTGCAAGCCTGCCTCAGTGAGGCAAATATTCTGATCAAAAACTAAAAAAAATTTGAAACTTAAAACTAATTTTGAAACTGCAAACTATAACAAAGGTATTTTTTAAACTAATGGAGGTAAATTTGGGCCATGAATTTCCCCCATTTTTTAAAACCGATTTAAATCATTTCAATCTCTAATTTATTAAAACTGAGATAAAAAAAAAAAGTAAACTTAAAATAAAAGTTTAAAACTAGTTTTCAGGTTTATTTTTCTGTTTCAGATGGAATTTATTTTCATATTCAAACTGCTGGCCCCTCAGTGTGGGGGCGGGACTTGGATGGAATGATGACTGACAGCTTTGTTGCCTGAATAAAATATTCCAAGTTGCTGCATTCAGGAAGCGTGGGAATTAGAACTGTCTTTCACACATAATCAATACTTTATGTTTATGTTATATATATATATATATATATATATATATATATATATATATATATATATATATATATATTAGGGGTGTGCAAAATACTCGTGATAATGATGCATCGTGATTCTAATTTTCGTGATCTACTGCATCGATTCTTAATGCCAAGAATCGATTATTAATTTAAAAAAATGAATAAATAAAATTGCATGAATGGTTGGCGAACATCAGCCAAAAACAAGTGTAATACAACTTCCAGTCCAGTAGATGTCGCTGCAAATGTGTTGACGCACGCTGCCTTGTGTCACAAGCATTTCCGGCCGCGGGATACTGCGCCGAGCCATCAAAAACAAAACATGGAGGAGAAAATATTGCAATGCATCGCAATAATTCAAGTATCGTGATACATCGTGATAGAATCGCATCGTGGCCTATGAATCGTGATTCGAATCGAATCGTGACTTCTTTGGCAATACCCACCCCTAATATATATATATATATATATATATATATATATATATATATATATATATAAGGTTTTGAGAAGTAATATTTATTTTATAATTTCACATTGTGAGACATGTCTTCATTATTTTGGCGTACTTTTTTTAACAGTTTAAAAAATACTTTTTCTTTTTTTTTATATTTCTTATTCTTTTTTTAAAAGTAAAAAAAAAAATGAACAACACTTATGGCCCAAATTTAGCTCCATTTTTATCCCTTAACATTTTTGTTGTAAAACTATTTTAACACTATGTTAAATTTTCTCTCCACCATCAACCATTTGTTGGGGTTTTTTTCTACATAAAATGTAAACTGATAAATTCAAAGTTTGTTTTTGTAATATTTAAAAATAGTCAAACATTTTCAGTTGAGAGTTGGTCTTTTCTTTGCAGCGTCACCATATAGGGGATCGAAGCCTGTCGCTGTGCAACATGTTTCTGGATGAGATGGCCAAGCAGGCCAGGAACCTGATCACCGACATCTGCACTGAGCAGTGTACTCTCAGCGACCAGGTAGGAACTAGCCTACTACTACTGAGGAAAGATTATTTCCTGTTCCCTCCCTCTCTGTGTTTACAGCAACTTTAGCATCTAATAACCCAACAGTTTATTAGTTTACTGACTAAAAACAGGAAGCTGTCTTTCTTGGGTTTGTTTCATATCATATAATCCCCAGACAAGTTTGATTTCAGGAAGTATGCAGAGTGGCTGTGATATGGAGTAAATTTAGTCCCAGATTTGCAAGCTGAGTATGCAAAAAAATAAATAAAAGCAACCCAGAGATAAAACTTAAGAAAAACTTCATGATCAAATCTGAGAAAACTTTACTGTTTTCTTAGATTTTACGTTTGCAAATGATTGTATTTTTTTCTCTTTTTCTCGTATTTATTTTTGTCTGAATTTGTTTATACTTCATATATATATATATATATATATATATATATATATATATATATATATATATATATATATATATATATAGCTGTTTTCTTATATATTTAGCTGATATCAAATTTTATTGTTTTAAAATTTCTTGACACATTTGTCTCAGCTGATAGCAGTTGAGACAAATTTGTCAAGAAATTTTAACATCAACATTTTTTGGAGCTTTTTATTGTGGGTTTGAAGTGGAAAAGAATGATCTGTAAAAGGCAAGTGGAAAAAATAGGAACTTGGTAAAACTCAATTTTCAAAACAGAAATTTGGGAAAAATCTATTTAAGTTCAATCTATAATCATATTATTCAATTATAATATGTATAAAAATAAAACAAGGAAAAAAATACAAGTTTGGGCAAAAAATTGTTTTAAATCTAAAAAAAAACCTGAAAAGTTACGAAACCTCTTTTTTAATTACAAAGTAGTTTTTGTTCTGAATTGCATCCTTTTTTAAATTTCCATTTATAAAACAAAAGTTTTGGAGTGGATTGGACATGGACATAATTAAATATCTGATCTGAAATGTAATTGAACTGAAAAACAAAATAAAATAAAATGACCTTTACTGTTTATATGGACCAAAGCAACTGGAACGAAACAGCTCATCAGAAATGTGTGATGTAAACATGGCGTATCAAGTGAAAACGTATCCCATTAAGCACGGGCCCATTCAGGTCAGTTTGCCTCATTCAGAATAACGTGACCCCAATAAGCTGCCCATCTTCAGATGGATGTTATTTCATCCATACGGATAAAATCCATACGGATATGCTTATGTGACTCATTTATTGTCCAATCAGCCGTTTATTCTGATTACTTCAAGTGTTGCAGGAGATCATTGCTGCCGCACATGGTCCTTTTATTTTGAGTAAAATATTTGTGGGAATTTTTTAAATTTGATGTTAATTGAAGTGTGATAACCCTGTTCTAAACATGGCATCGCCCTGGTTTCTTTCTTTTCGGTTTGCTTCCTCAGCTGCTGCCCAAACACTGCGCTAAAACTATCAGCCAGGCTGTGAATAAGAAGAGCAAGAAGGCAACGGGAAAGAAGGGGGAGCAAGAGAGGGAAAAACCTGGAGTGGAGAGCATGAGGAAGAACCGGCTAATGGTCACCAAGTCAGTAGCAGAAGCAACTGGATCAAAACTCTCCCCACTTTACTCAGCATCGCGCTTTTATGTCTCCTTTAAAATCCTGTCATTACAGAGCTAGAGAGCACTTAGCATTAGCTTTAACTTCTTCTATCAAACTGTTGGAACTTATCTGACTTCCTTTGTTTGTTTCCTTCGTCCCAGTCTGGATAAGCTCCACACAGCGCTGTCAGAGCTCTGCTTCTCCATCAACTACGTTCCCAATCTGGTGGTGTGGGAGCACACGTTCACACCGAGAGAGTACCTCACCTCGCACCTGGAGATCCGCTTTACCAAGTAACCAACATACACAGCATCCTTTAAAAGACTTTAACACTTTTGTCCAGTTTAGTTACTGACTACATGGTTATGGAGTTAGAATAGAAAATTCTTTATTGTGGTAACAAGATAAACAAACACTGTTCACCTGGAGAATAAATAACCAATATGCAGCTATGGACATTTTTACAGTAATGGATATTTGAAAATAGCAGCAACATCAGAGATGTGCAGAATGACAGCAGCAGGTTATTTAACTGACTAAGATAGAAACTGTGCAGAATCAGCATTAATAACAACTAAATGAGGTTGTTGGGAACAGTGGTGGTTCTGGAGTCTTCCAGCTGCTGGGAGGAAGGATCTCTGATAACGCTCCCTGGTGCATTTAAGGTGCAGCAGTCTGTCACTGAAGGAGCTCTCCAGTTCAGCACCAGCTTCATGCATGGAGGGGGAGACATTATCTAAAAGAGATGTTCATTTAGTTAGGATCCGTCTGTTTCCCACCTCCTGCACTGAGTCCAGAGGACATCCAACCACAGAGCTGGCCTTCCTCATCAGCTGATCCAGCCGCTTTCTCTCAGCTACAGATAAGATGCCACAACATTCCTAGAAGGTCTTTAAGGCCGGGCAATTGATTGCAATTGCAGTATAATGGAATCTGACTAAACTTAATTATCAAACAGCTGAAGTCAGATTATATTTAACAAGTGTGGAGCATTGGAGTAGAACAAAGTGAAATCAAAACTAAATCTTTCAGTTGCAACATTGGTCCAAACAGAGTGGGGAGAAACCACTAGAAATAAATAAAAGTAGCGTTAGTGGACTGTTTAAGACTTTTACGAGTAAGAAATAAGTTGGGATGTGAGGAACAGAAGATCTCTGTTTTACTGTTTTCATAAAAATATAAAATGTTAATAAGAAATCAACAACGACAACAGAAAAGAGAACTTTTAACTTAATGCTCTGAGCTCTGGGGGCGCTCCATTGGAAGGTGCAGCTGCCGCAGTGCATGCTGGGACAGCTGTCAATCTCAAGAACAGACAAGTCTGCTCTGATGCATGCTGGGTAATAAGGGAGGGGCAAAGACAACATTCAGGGATAACAAGAAATAAAGATTAAAGCCGTATTAATCCAGAAATTCGGATTAAACTTTGAAATAAAGCATAATAACTCCAAAGCAGAAAGAATGCGTCGTCATTTCCATTCAGCCTCTGACCCTCCCCTCTACCTCCAGGTCTATAGTTGGGATGACCATGTACAACCAGGCCACTCAGGAGATCGCCAAGCCCAGCGAGCTGCTGACCAGCGTCCGGGCTTACATGACTGTGCTGCAGTCCATCGAGAACTACGTCACCATCGACATTACTCGAGTTTTTAATAACGTCCTCCTGCAGCAGACGCAGCACCTGGACAGCCATGGGGAACCCACCATCACCAGTTTATACACAAACTGGTGAGTCAGACTCAATGTCTGCCAAGGTTCAGTTTCCTTTGCTGGTTTTAACAAGGATCCAATACTTTTATCAACCAGTGATGGTATTATTCTGCTTGGTAAGAGAAGATGAAGAACAAATAAAAGAGCGTTGTGGGTCTGTGCAGGTACCTGGAGACGTTGCTCCGTCAGGTCAGCAACGGACACATTGCCTATTTCCCCGCCATGAAGGCCTTCGTAAACCTGCCTACTGAGAACGAGCTGACCTTCAACGCCGAGGAATACTCCGACATTTCTGGTACTCTCCCCGCTGCGATCCGTCCGATGCTGGCTGCTCCTCCTGGACCTTTGAACACAGTATTCTAAACAACTTGTGCTTTTTTGTGGGTGTTTTGTCTACAGAAATGCGCTCCCTCTCCGAGCTGCTGGGGCCGTACGGGATGAAGTTTCTTAGCGAGAGTCTGATGTGGCACATCTCATCGCAGGTTGCTGAGCTAAAGGTATGTTTCTATTCACACATACATGCAGAGACCTTAGACACATTTTTATGTTTTTATTGTTTTGAGTTTTTAAACCCTCATTGTGTTTCTAAATGTTATGGTAAAAATTATGCACTGTTTTTTAACTGACAGAAACTACATAATTTAATTTGATGAGTATTTAGCCCTTGGTGCATATCGATGCTATTTGTGGGCAGGTCTTCTAAAAAAAAAAAAAAAAAAAAAATTCTTACCTATGAAACGGATACAATATACAAAAAAAGGGAACCTCTTATGTTACTGAATTGAAAAGAAGATGGAAAAAAAAGACATGGGCTGTTTCTTAATTCACAAGGACGTGAGTACGGACTCATGTTCTCGCCAAGTATGTTTTGAGAAGAACACAGGAAAGTCTGGACTTGGGGAGAACAGGAGCAAGCAGAATAAAGGCTGATTTATACTTTGAAACTAGGTCGTCTGCATAGGTATCGCAGTGAACAAAAAGACGTCCCCGCCCCCTGCCCAGACACTCTGCTGCACCTCTCCCAAATTGTAGGTGACCGCAGACAGGAGGCCAGCTTGTTTTGCTTTTATGACCGCCATGGCAGATAACAACTCATGATGAAGGACCGGCTAGAAGAACGAGGTGCACGAGAACGCTGGGACCTTTTTTTCCACCTGGATCCCTGCTCTTTTTCGCCCTTATGTCCCTCCATTGTCAGACAAACACGCCCCTACATCCTCACCGCCCTCGGAGCTTCGCTGGTTGCCATGGTCCTCTCAACTTGGAATTTTGTTTTTAAATTGCGCATTAAATCAGTAAATGGGCCACATAGTGACGCTTAAAAGTATAATGTTCTCGCCTTAAAGGATCTTAAAACATCCTTTTATTGAACAACAGCAACAGGAAAGAGAACTTTTATCTTCATACTCTGAGCTCTGTGAGTGCTGCATTAGAAGCTGCTGCTGCTGCAGTGCATGATGGGATAGCTGTCAATCTCAAGAACAGACAAGTCTGCTCTGATGCATGCTGGGTAAAGAGGGAGGGGTGAGAACAGCATCCGGGGCCTTTGTCCGTTCTAGGTCTGCTGTTCTGTGAATTGGAACTGTACTAGGGCTGAGGATGATGACGTTTCACGACTACATGAGAAGGCACAAGCACACAGATTGAGAAACGGACAGGAATTGCAATTTTAACAGATGAAGAACTTTTATTTGTAGGCAGGGTTTGTCACTCTGACTTACTGTCATTTCATTTCATGAAGCCGGAGGCAGCTGTAAATTTAGTTTTCTGTTTTTAGTGTAATCCAGAAGTCAGTGCTGGTTAGGGTTGGGAATTGATGAGATTTTCACGTTTCTGATTCCCTTATCGATTCTCTTATTGATTCTATGAAACAATGAACGTGCTAAGTGCACGGTGACATTCATCTACCTTCACCTAAGACATTCTATTTCTGCCTGCCTCGGTGAAAACAGAAGGCAGTGAGCGGGAGCTGATCCAGCCAGGATACCCTGCTCATCACAATCATCTAACTCTAATGTAGAAGGCAACCGTTTAATGAAAAAACATTACTGTACAGTTTTGGGAAGTAAACTCATCTACCCTGAGCATCACCTTTCTCTCACTGTTTAATAACCCCAAAGAGAGGTAGGAAACTGGTTTATTTCCAGAAATGTCATATGACTTACCAGGAACCACATTAAGCCAGTGATAGAAAACTAGCTACTTACCACCAGAGTTTCCTTCCATGCAGGTCGTAACTTTAGCTTCTGTCTGGAAGCATCAAAAACACGGCATTTGTTCAAATGTATGCCATGTTGTGTGCGCAGGTGTTTCTGCATGTTGGATATATTTCCTCCCGCGGATGTTATTACCACTTTACATCAAAACAAAACAAAAAAATGGCGTCATTTTTTTGTTTTGTTTTTCTAGACGTACGCCTGGCTTAACTTGCATAAAAAACGTGACGTATCTTACGTAGAAAACATGACATAAAGTCTTGCTGCCTAGCGCTGGGCTGCCTGGAACCGTTAAGGGAACCGTGAAGCGAGCTGCCAAACGGTGCCAAGGGATTGGAACACACGGAACCGGTTCTGAACAGGAACCGGTTTTCTATTCCCATCCCTAGTGCTGGTAGAGACTGTTTGCTGTTAGCAGCGTCAGAACCCCGGGGTCTAGTTGCTCCCAGAGAAAAGTTCAAACTTAGCACCATGAAGTCTATTATCCCTCAAAGCTTACCATGTTTATTACTAGCATGAGGTTTTCTATCACATTAGAAGCACTTTGAGTAACTCCCTCCACTTCTCTTTCACCACATGGTTCCCTCTGAGCACAGGAGTGAAGTTCCACTGCTCCTTCATGCAGCTCTGCTAAACGGGCCTATTTAGGTGACAGCTGAAAGAATGTATCCACTGTTGGTATTTACAAACAGAACCGGTTAAAGTTCATTGTCTCCGTTAAACAATGTAAATAATCCTGTGGAAAGGACTCTGGATCTATTCCTGTTTCTAATGTTTCTTCTAAATAAATTATCAATAATTTGACGGAACAAACTTTGATCTATTAAGTATTAATTGGCGATTAATCATGTTGATTGTTGTCTTTCATCCCTAGCCACAATAATCTGTATCTGTTGATCTATAGTATCTTACATTCCTCTGTAAAATGCTCTTATTTCTGCTGATCTTGTCTGTAGAAACTGGTGGTGGAAAACGTGGAGGTGTTGACCCAGATGAGGACAAGCTTCGACAAACCGGACCACATGGCCGCACTCTTCAAGAAACTCACCTGTAAGCATGGAGGCGCTCCCCTCTCAGCCCTGCAGGCAGATTCAGTGATGATCATTCTGTTGCACACCTTTCATACGTAGCATTTAGCCCACGGCGCTAAAGGGTTCACATATTTCCATTTTTAGTCCACCATTTAAAAAAACATTTTCAACAGTGTCCTGTCTGGCAATGTGGCAATAAGAATAATTGTCTTGATGCCAAAAAGAGCTCAACAGATTTTCCTTTCACAAGTGGAGCAGTACGACTATAGTGTTCCACTTGATTTATGCATTTAAACAGCTTTATTATAATTCATCCAGGGAGTTTTATAGATTATATGGACACTGCAATGTAAGTAGGACAGGAAAGGAGAAAAAGGAAAAAAGATGATAAGATAAGAGCCAAAGACCATTGTTTGCTGCTTCTTTTATTGTATTAAGTTTGAGGGTTTTCCTATGTGTTTGCAGCTGTGGACAGCGTTCTGAAGAGGATGACCATCATTGGTGTCATCTTGTCCTTCCGTTCTCTCGCTCAGGAAGCTTTGAGAGATGTAAGACAAACCCAGTCACAGCAGTGAGGCGAGGCAGGTTCCACCATCTCACTCCTCCTGGCTCTGTCCTGTCCTCTTTCAGGTGTTGTCATGCCACATTCCATTCCTGGTCAGTTCCGTGGAGGATTTCAAGGACCACATCCCTCGAGAGACAGACATGAAGGTGGACCACACTCACACACACATCAGCCACCAGGAAACCATTTTCCTGCCTTCATGCTGACCTGAGCGAGTGCGTTTCCTGTTTCCAGGTGGCCATGAACGTCTACGAGCTGTCCTCAGCAGCCGGTTTACCCTGCGAGATCGACCCCGCGCTGGTGGTGGCGCTATCCTCTCAAAAGAGCGGTGAGTCACGAGCCGGTGCAGCCTTGTCGACGCAACTTCCAGCCTGTTTCTAAGAGCCTGCTTTGGTTGGCTGTTTGCAGAGAACAACAGTCCAGAGGAGGAGTATAAAATCGCATGTCTGCTGATGGTGTTCGTGGCCGTTTCCTTGCCGACGCTCGCCAGCAATGTGATGTCACAGTACAGCCCTGCCATTGAGGGTAAGTCTCTGTGGTGTTGGGTTGCTGATTTCTATTTATTCCAACAAAATAAAGACGACTGATTTCGTCCAGAGTGTCTGCCGCGTTTTTAGATGTAGTAAAGAAAATCAGCGGTAAATTATAGTTTGACGTCGCTGTTCCGGGAGTTTCACTTTTCTTATGCTGTTCAACTAAATTCAGCTTAATATGTTTCTGTTTGGTTCATTTTATAAACAGGTTTAAGTAAAAAAAAAAAAATACATTCTACACGTTATTGATAATTGGAATATAAAATACAGCCAACATAAAAATATGTTAGAAAATATATTCATATTCTTTTTTATTTCATTTTTTTGTTTAATTATTTATTATTTTTTAGTTTTTTTTTATTATTGAAAAAAAATCCCTGGATTTTCAGGAAAATGCTTTTCAGTCAAGACAAACAACTTTAGATGAACATGCAGGATTTCAACGGGTCATTAAAAGTCATTAAATTATTGTTTTAAATGAAGGCCTTTGTTGGAATTCATTAAATGTGATTACCGTGGCTTTTAAAATTATTTCTTTTTATTGTTTTTAAAGTATGTTTATAAAAACAACTTTGCCAGATATATTATATCGCGTTATATTTGCACGGAACTACTTCCAATTGATGGTAACGCCGTATGTTCCGAATAGAAGCTCGAGGCGGAGAAAAGGTAGAGAATAGGAAAATGCACGTTTCAACAAAAGTGGCTGGAAAACGAGGAATTTGGGACATGGCTGCTAGCCTGGTGAGACCATCCTGATCTCGCGAGCTTTCAAGGTTTCACTCGCAGATCAGTCTGGAGACTCTCCGTTAAAGAACGTTTGGAGCCGTTCACCAAACGAACGTCCAATCAGCGTTGGCTTTGAGGCGGGTTGAGGTGTGACGCAACGAGAAGCGCGACAGTTCAGTCTAAAGAACATGGCGGCTTCAGCCGATGAAACTAGCGTTAGCGTGGCTATCGAGCAAGTTTTATCGGAATTACAGAGTATTTCTTCACTGAAAGAAGAGCAAAACACTGCTCTGGAGGCTTTTCTCAGAGGAAAAGATGTTTTTGCTCTTCTGACTGGTTTCGGCAAGAGTTTGATCTATCAATTGGCTTGTGGTTGTGTTTTCGTCGTCGCTCTGTTAGTACGTCATATGCTTCGTTGATCTGATTGGTTTATTTGGCCCGTCTATCACCAACATAGGCCAATCAGCTAACCAATATTTTCGCCCCTTCCCAAAATTACTTCAACGGAAGGTTTCCAGATGGATATGCGGAGCAAATCCATCTGGCAGAGTCAGGTTAAAGTAAAGATGACAAAGGATTTTTCCGTGTTCTATGAGAGTCATGGGTAGTCGTTGTGATGGCATTAAAATGATTTCTGAGAGCATTAAAGAATATTAAATTAGAGTTACTCATTACTGTATAAACCCTGACTTTATTAAGCAGCTCAGATCTCAACGCAAATCAGAAACTGCACAGTTTTCTCAAACCGGGTGGAAAATCACTGCAATGACTTTTGAAGGAAGAAGCAGGTTCATCAGAGAGAACCTGATCCAGAGGTTGATTTCCAGTACTTTAGTGTTTATTTAGGGGGAACTGAGCATGAGGAGGAACAATTAACATGATGCTCATGATCTTTCAGTGCATAGCAGAACTGCTCATGTATCACAGCTGCAAGTCACGCTTTCCATCACGCTTTAAAATGGGATTTAGATCCAGTTATATTAAGGTTAGATAATAAAAAGGTACAAACAACCTTCAAACTGATGGTTGTTTGTTTTAGAAATGTAATTTACTGACCATTTGATCCTAAAAATGAGTTTTCTTTCCTAATTACAGCACATTTTCCCTCAATGTTGATTTAAGCCAATAAGTTGGGAGTATTTTATAGCCTGAAAGCTCTATAGTCGATATAAGCTCTGATTTTCAGAGCCTATTTATTTATATTGATGTATCAAATCTTGTGTGTATTAATAAAAGGATGAATAGAGGCAACAGAAGGATTTCCCCCAGTAGAAGCCGTCGTAGTTGAATGAGGCTTTTGATAAGCTATCAAAGACATTTGTCAGTCAGAGGGTGAATTATGAAGACACTGCCGCCTAACAACCTTGAAATGAAAGGCTGCAGTGTTAATAAGAGGCTCCTAAAGAGGATAATAAGTTAGCGTCGGCTCGGCTCTGGTTGGTATGCAGACCTCGTCTTTGCCAACAATTGCTTTTACCAACGGCGTTTCTTTGTACACGTCCGCATAACGGCGCCCCCTTTCACTCACAATGCGCTCCATTTCATTCAACTAATGCTCCACAATATATTATACATTAAGCTGTTTGATGGATTTCAAGTAAAGGAGTAAAAAATAAAAAGGAAGAAAATGTTCTTGGTGTTTCAAGAGTTTGTATTTGCTGCCCCCTGCAGGCCACTGCAATAACATCCACTGTTTGGCCAAAGCCATCAATCAGATTGCTGCAGCGCTCTTCACCATCCACAAGGGAAGCATAGAGGACCGCCTGAAGGAGTTCCTGGCTGTAAGATATTTGATTTCATTTCTAATAGAACTGTTTAAATAGTTTTTGCTGCTGTTGCTTCGGTTCTTTGCACAAACATTATATTTCAATCTCTAAACCTTGGAGAAGAAAAGGTTAGAACGTTTTATAAACTATAGATATGACAGTTTGGTTTAAAATTCTTACAGTGCTGAGCAGAATTATTTAAACGGTAAAGCTGGTTATATTCTCATTGAACCAGAAACACTGCCTGCTGTGTCTCATCTCTGCACTCGGGTTCTTTTGTTTTTTCGCTGCTGTCAGTTTGAAGCAGGTCTCAGCTTTTTGTTAAAAGATGTTAGCATGATTCCTAATCGACTTGCCTCCGTTCTGTCAGCACATCTCATGCAATCCTCAGGTGGAGCGGAGCAGACGGATCATTTTAAGGAGATGTGACTGAAATGAACGCAGCTCTGTTTAGCTAACGTGTAACGTCTCAGCCACATGTCTTCATTCTCGTCTCTGCAGCTGGCCTCATCCAGCCTCCTGAAGATTGGCCAGGAAACCGACAAGATGACCACAAGAAACCGAGAGTCCGTCTACCTGCTGCTGGACATGGTGAGAACAGGACGGGAAGCTATAAGAAATGTTCCATAAAAGTTCAAAAAAATCCTCTGGACTTGGTTTCCAAGATTTGAAGAGCAGTGGATTTTTTTGAACTTTTAGGACCTGGATGACTGAGAATCTTCATCAGCAATAAGAAATGTTTTTCAGCTGTATGCGTTTATGGTTTTACTGTTAATCAAACATTCAGACTGCTCTGTGTTTGGATTCAGTTTGTTTGTTTCCAGCAAATATCAGGTTTTGTAAATGGAAATAGAAAAAAATGAAATCCTAAAATGAAACTTTGAAAAACGTATATATATATCAAAAAGGTTTTAGAATAACTTTGCTATTTCCTCAGATTTCTCTGGCTAATTTCTACTTTTTTTCCACCCTATTTTATTTTTTTTTTTTTCAAATTATTTTACAATTTTTTTCATACTTGGAAAATACTATTTGCTTCACATAAAATATTTATTTCAAAAATAGAATTTTAAAAATATAAAAAAATAACCTTGAAAAAAATCAAAATAAAAAAGAGAATTTGAAAAAGTAAGATTTGAGAAAACAGCAAAATTTTAAGTCTTTTTAAAAAAATTTTATAATTGATTAGAACGTTTTCTTTTAAATGTAATTAGTTTTCTAAAAATTATATATCTATATATGTGTATAGATGGATTGATAGATAGTTGGATAGATTTTACTTAAAATGTATTTTCTGAGCTTGCATTATATTCTTTTGAAATAGTTTCACAGATTCATTCTCTTCACTTTAAGGCCCATACTGACGCTAAGAAGTGAAGAGTAAAGTGCAATTTACAAAGCATGCAATTAAGAAAACTTGATCTGAAAAACATTAATTAAAAAATAAATACTAAGATAAAAAAATCTGTAAAAAAAAAAATAAATAAAAATTTTAAACTAGACAAAAATGAAATGTGAAAAAATAAATTTGAAAAGAAAACAGCAGAGCTGCTCATGAAGCTTTTTTTTGTTCAGAAAACATTTTTCAAAGTTTAATTATTTTGATTGCATTTCGTTTTAAAATTTGAATTTACAAAATTTGTTTTTTTGTATTTCTAAAACAATTTTTGCTTCAAACAGTGACAGAAAGTTCACTCTTATAAACGATTCATGTATAAAACTCCAGCTACAACCAGATGCTCTGCCATGGTTGCTTATGTTTAGTTAAAAACTGGTTGAAGAAGGAACCACTACTCTGGCTGCTGCAGCAAAATGGTTTCCTGATTTAAACTCCTCCTCCTACTGAAACTGTCCTGAAATGGACAAACAAAGCTGACCTTAAAACTCGTAGAGAAGCTTCTAATTAGCTTTGACCTGTTTATATTAGACGCCTTCTGTTAACTTTATAGATTAAAGAAAAAAAAACCCTAAACAATTTCAAACCAGTGCAACAAATGTTTGTTTAAATCAAAGAACAAATGTGATTCTACTGAAGAAATGTTTGTCTTCTCTCTCCAGATTGTGCAGGAGTCTCCCTTCCTGACCATGGACCTGCTGGAGTCCTGCTTCCCTTACGTCCTGCTGCGAAACGCCTACCATGCCGTCTACAAACAGAGCATCAGCGCCAGCGCATAGAGATGCTCACATGTACATAGAAAAACACTGCGCGAAAACACTAATCCATCAAGGACTCCGCTCCCTGATAACCGACACTATCGACATAACGCACTAATTAAGCCAAACACACTAAAACACACAGAGCTGGATGAAGTGGGGGATCAGTGTCTTTATTTCTATCCTTGTTTTCCATCATGTTGCGCGGGACCATAACCACTGCAACAACTTTTATTATTATTATATGATGTTTTAATGAACAAAAATATAAAGATATAGTATATATATAAAGCTGACACTGAAATATTCCTTTTGTTTCTTATTTTAATAGACAATTTGAGATTTCTATGGTCCAGCTGAGACCTGTGTGTTGATTTGGATGCTTATTTTGGGAATGCAATGATTCTGCCGTGCTGTGGGGTTCTTTGACCTTTTATTTGTTGTTAAGGATTCCTGTGTTGATGCTGAGAGATGCGTTACCTGCCGGTTTCCACAAACTGTACGGACACACACTGACAGATATCCGATACGAACCCCCTAACCTAAGGAACTTTTGTTGCTTAAAAAAACTCAACATTTGTATAACACGGTGATGCTTCTTCCTGTTCTTTTTTTTCTTGTTTTTTTTCTAGGTAGCTGTAACACGAAGCGTTTGTGGGTAAAGATGTGCCGTCTGTATTCTACTTTGATGTGAACTGTCTGTTTTTAATATTTTTGTTTATTTTTATGACAACAATGACCGTTTGCCAAATGTGTTGACACTTAACATTTTGTGTATCAGGGCTTGGAAGTGGTGAAAGTGTTTGATTATTGATGGTGCGCAATGCCATTTTTCTTTTTTCTCAAACTTGCGGCTTTAAGCGGAACAAAACACTATTTTTTCCGGAGGGAAGGAGTGACAGAAACGTTCCCCCTCAGCTCTTCACTCTGCGGCCTTTGGAAAGAGGCAGATTGGGTGTTTTCCTCGTCCCGTTTTAACACCCTGGAAGCTGACAATTAGAGCAGCTGCTGTTAAAAGCTGACCATCCACACTAAAGTTTTTAATCATCTGTTGTGCTTAACTTTATAAACGGGAAAGAAATGGAACCAGTTCCTCTTCTGAAAAAGCAAATGGATCATCTCTGGCCTGTTAAACTACAAACCAATGTGGAGCTGCAATAAGACAAAATAAATCTATATATGTTAACACTCCTGCTGACTTTCTTACTGGATTTTCTCTTGGTGTTCTGAATTGTATTTTACAATTTTGGATTATGAGTAAAAAAAAAAACATCTGCAACATTTTATTTTGTTTTAAACGTTTATTCTTCAGTCCAAAAGTGAAAAGGTAGAACTTTATTAATGCAGCCCTTGCACCTGTTAAGATGATAAAGAGTAACAGCTGTGAAACCCAGCTGGCTTCCTGCATCTCTAGGCTTGTAGACTTGTAGGTCTGAGATGTTTATGGTGGGGCGGGTATGACTTGTCTCCTCACGTCTTGCAACACCCAGGTTGAAAGATCTAGCGGCCACGGATGTTTCGGATCCTGATGTCATCCGCATTTCACAACGGATCCTACCCTTATCCCAACGCCTGTTGTAATAATGTTTTTTTTGTATTTTTAGTGACAAATCCAGCCCCAAGGTTAATGTTTAGGTTTTGGCTATAAGCAACCTTTAAAAGACATCCACACTCTAAAATAAGAATTCACACCCATCTTTCCAAAACATGGATTACTCAGAAAATAAAATGTCCTCATTGATTGATTGATAAATTGATTGGTAGAAGGGCAACAGTGACTCAAATAACCACCTGTTACAACCAAGGTGGGCAGAAGAGCATCTCTGAACGCACAGTACGTGGAACTTTGAGGCAGATGGGCTACAGCAGCAGAAGACCACACCGGGTGCCACTCCTTTCAGCTAAGAACAGGAAACTGAGGCTACAATTTGCACAAGCTCATCGTAATTGGACAATAGAAGATTGGAAAAACGTTGCCTGGTCTGATGAGTCTCGATTTCTGCTGCGACATTCGGATGGTAGGGTCAGAATTTGGCGTCTACAACATGAAAGCATGGATCCATCCTGCCTTGTATCAACGGTTCAGGCTGGTGGTGGTGGTGTCATGGTGTGGGGAATATTTTCTTGGCACTCTTTGGGCCCCTTGGTACCAATTGAGCATCGTTGCAACGCCACAGCCTACCTGAGTATTGTTGCTGACCATGTCCATCCCTTTATGACCACAATGTACCCAACTTCTGATGGCTACTTTCAGCAGGATAATGCGCCATGTCATAAAGCTGGAATCATCTCAGACTGGTTTCTTGAACGTGACAATGAGTTCACTGTACTCAAATGGCCTCCACAGTCACCAGATCTCAATCCAATAGAGCATCTTTGGGATGTGGTGGAACGGGAGATTCACATCATGGATGTGCAGCCGACAAATCTGCGGCAACTGTGTGATGCCATCATGTCAATATGGACCAAACTCCCTGAGGAATGCTTCCAGCACCTTGTTGAATCTATGCCACCAAGAATTGAGGCAGTTCTGAAGGCAAAAGGGGGTCCAACCCGTTACTAGCATGGAGTACCTAATAAAGTGGCCGGTGAGTGTACATAAACTATAAACAGCTATATATATATATATATATATATATATATATATATATATATATATATATATATAGTTATTGCACAACTTATTGCAGTGATAGTGCTGCATTGTAAAGTCTGATTGCAGCAGGGATGAATGACCTGTGGTAGTGGAGCTAAATGTTTTTATTAGGAAGCATAAAAGCAGCAAGAATTATGCAAACGGCAGAAATAGGATCTTAAATTATAATCGCTAAAATGCTTTTGTTGAGACCTCACCCTTTTTCATGTCTTATGGCGGACATGTAAGGTCAGGGAGGGAGGGGGGGAAAGGTTGTTCCCAAAACTGCAAATTCCCCAGGACATCAGCTTCTCAGGTCGGTGAACTCCTCTCCTCCAGACATCAACTTCCTTGTTTCTGGTTTCCTAATAATTATCAGAATAATAGTCAAACACCCTAATCCTAATAATCATTCTGACCAAACATCAGAGTACTTTAGTACATCACTCCTGTTTGGGTCTCGCCAAACTTCTTTCTTCCAGACGTAAACTTCCTCTTTTCTGACTCATCTTCAGTCTTGAATCTTCCTTTTCATTTGGCTCATCCCAAAACCCTTACATTTCCCAAAATATTTACCTAAATTTTCTTCAAGCGTACACTAAGCTTATATTCCTCTACTAGCCCTGACAAAATGATTTTCAACCCCGGGACGGACAAAACCTCAGTTTCATCTGCTGCTCGGAACCAGTTCCCGAGCTACGTGCTGAGCTGGGTCAATGGGATGCTGCATGTCCATGTCAGGGATGGAAGGTGATGACCTCATGGTCCAGACCATATATGGATATCCTGCAGCCAGTCCTGTCTAGACATCAACATTTCCTAATTCATTGCTTCACATACAGTCTACACATCATTTAACAATTTGTTTATAGGATCAGCATCTATGTCATCACTCTTAACAAACACATTAAGTAGGTTAGCAGACTTTAAGCTCATTATTTAACTTGTATAACTGCTTGAATTAAAAAAGTTGACTCTTTATCCAGTTTTAACAAGATTGATTAATAGAGTTCACCTCTAGTTGACTGACCTATAGATGTACCCAACTATGAAACAAAAGTCCAAAAAGCCAAGAATATTTTCTTTTATTTGTGACTCAGCTCTGCTACCCGGCAGAAGCCAGCAGGGGGCGCCCTGTTCAAACACATTATACAAACAAGAACCATCATCACTTGGTGTATATCATGTAAACTTTTTTTCACTAAAAGAGATTTTTTTATGGCTTTTGATTATAATAAGAAACATGGTGGGCAGAATATTATGGAGAAAAAAGAGTGAATGTTTAGAAGCCTTGCCTTCCTTTGACTGCGCAGTTCGCATCATGGAAGACATGGAAACAGAGGAAACAGGAAAATCTTTGTAAAAATATTCTGCCCATTTTACTTAATAACAAATTTCTTCTCCTGCTAGGTTGAAGTTTTCCATAAAACTTTGTGAACTTTCAGTCTTGCAGATTTCCTGTCATGTTGGTGTGTCCATCTTCATTTCTCCAGCCTTCAGGTTGGACCAGTGTTCTGTCAGATCAGCAGACCCATAGTCTATACCCTGTTATCACTTTGATTTTGTACAAAAAATACACTTTAAACTACCTGAACGGGCGTGTATCCCTTCAGTAATGTAACAAAAAACAAACTATGTGATTATTTACTTTTTGTTTTTTTGAAACCTATGGCAATCTGTTTTTAAATTGTTTTTCTGTACATGACTAAATGGATACACGCCCGTCGAGGTAGTTTAAAGTGTATTTTTCATACGAAACTAAAGGGATAAAAGGTACTAGATGTGTCTATGCAAATTTACGTGTTGACTGGTCTGATGCTGGTCTGATAGGTGTTTCTCTCTCCAGCTGGTGTCCATCAGTCATTCCTGTTGGCCGGTTTCTTCCTCTTCCTCCTCTGGTACGGCTCTTTGCAGTTTATCTGTGGAACAACCAGACAGTCAGGATGACTGAACACATCAGATCAGACTGTGTTCTGCTGCGCCCATCAAATAAGCAGATGAAGACTCTCTAAAACATAATTTTCTTCTTCTGCACATATTTTCTGGAAGAGACACAACTACTGACCTTATATGGTGGTTTTGTACGGGAACAGGGGATTCAGAAAAAAATCAAATATGAGTACAAGTAAGTACAAATATGAACCCCGCACAGTTACATTCACATTGCTGTAGAAATTCACAGTATAAGACTTTTATAATAAAGCAGCAAAACAAATCTGAAGACCTTTGAGTAAAATGGTTCATGTATAATAAAAACTGAACACATGTTCAGTGTAAGACGTACTGCTTGTTATAATTTGAATCTTAAATTTTGTAAATTTTAACAGAAAAGTGGAACTCACAAATGCTTTGATAAGGGAGCATAAAGAGCAGCCAAACAGGGGATGTTAAAGACATATTGAATCGTTTTACAAATGTTCTTGGCCAGTATTTTGGCAAACCTTGCTAGAAAAAGGTCCCATGATGAAACCCTTTCTTCCACGCTCAGGAAGCTCTCTCCTGATCCAGTCAGAAGGGGAGCCAAACAGAAAAAAGGACCCATGGTTAATAAATGTTAACTTAATTTGAACAAGAGATGTCTTTGGCTCAAGGCCAGAAAATTATCATAGGGCCGAAAACTGATAGGGTCAAACTTGACTGACCACAGCAAATCTGAGCAGATTTTAATGAAGCATCTATGCTGTCTAAATTAATCATTTATGGTTCTTTATCTTCAGTTGCATAATGATTCCTGTAAGAACAGACACATAATTCTCCCACCTTCCCATGAATTCCCAAAAACGATTTCAAGATCAGCACAAAGGCTGAGTTTGTCCTTTTAATGTTAGTATATTAGGTGAATACAAATACAAGGGAGCTCTGTGATTGGTTGCAAACCATCCCCTGTTCAAAAAACAATTCATTTGTGTATTAAGGCACTTCAGGAGAGTCTCAAAAATCCACACACAAATGCAATGAAGTTTAAATACCACAAGTACTTTGTAATTTAATTTATAATTGTTCATGGACCAGAAGTTTGGGAAATCCTGTCTGTGCATGTGTGGATCTTGTATGCTTGCATAAATCATGCATTGTGAAAATTGAGACCAATCTACCTCCATAAATTCTTGCTTGACTGCTTTGCATACAACAAAGATGCCGACCGAACAAATTTCTTTTTCTAACAACAGGCTAAACAGACCTTTACTTTAAAACAACAGAAAAAGTCTTTAGGAGACAGCACATATATATATATATATATATATATATATATATATATATATATATATATATATATATATATATATATATATATATATATATATATATATATATATATATTATTGTAGGTGCATGTCCACCCTCAAAGACCTGTTAGTCTGCCTTCAAAAATTAAATTAGATGCACCTGTTTTAGGTTGTTAGCTGCATAAAGACACCTGTCCACCCCATACAATCAGTAAGAATCCAACTACTTACATGGCCAAGACCAAAGAGCTGTCCAAAACGACTAAAAACTAAAACTGTACACCTCCACAAGGCTGGAAAGGTCCACTTTTGGAGCAATCATTAGAAAATGGAAGAAGCTAAACATGACTGCTAATCTTCCTCTCACTGGGGCTCCATGCAAGATCAATGATCCTAAGAAAGGTAAGAAATCAGCCCAGAACTACATGGGAGGAGCTGGGACCACCATTTCCTAGGTTACTGATGGTAATACAATAAGATAGCATGGTTTGAAATCATGACAGAGGGTTTCTCTGCTTAAACCAGCGCATGTCAAACCTTTCTTGACATGTTGGAGGATGAAGAGAGCCCAACTGCCCCCACCCATCCTCCCCACCTTCTACAGAAGCACCATAGAGAGCGTTCTGACCAGCTGTCTCACTGTGTGGTGTGGAGGCTGCAGCGCCTCAGACTGGAAGAAGGTTAGAAGAGTACTAAGAGCAGCAGAGAAGATCTTGGGGGCTCCTCTTCCCTCCATTAAAGACATTTCATCCCAGCGCTGCGTGTCTCGAGCCTGTGACATCATCAATGACCCCTCACCATGGACTGTTCTCCCCGCTGCCCTCTGGGAAGAGGCTTCAAAGCATCCGATGCAGGTCCAGCAGGTTCTGCAACAGTTTCTTCCCGACCGCCATCAGACTGCTGAACTATTGAAAAAATCTAAATCCTGTCGCAGACTCTGCATCGCACTGAAAACACCAAACCAAAAATACTGCATATTTGCACCACATATATTAATGCTCTGAACCTCCATATCAATGCGTTTTTTTGCACCATGTTTTCTCTCCCACAGTATTTACATTTGATCACTGCTGCACTTTATGGTATGGAAATATTCATTTACTGTCTGAAAAGCTGTACTAAACAACTTTAATTTTGCGTACACTCTGTTTATGCAAAATTAAAGTCCTGGGCTTAAGTTTGCCAATGACCATTTGGATGATCCAGGGGAGTCATAGGAGAAAGTCATGTGGTCCGATGAGACCGAAATAGATCTTGTTCTATTAACCATGTTTGGAGGAAGATGAATGATGATGATGAGTACCAACCCAAGAACACAATCTCTACTGTTAGTCTATACATGTTGCTGATGAAGATTCTCAGTCATTCAGGTCATAGTCATTCCGTAAAAGTTTAAAAAACAATCCACTGGACTTGGTTTCCAAGGTTTGAAGACGTTTTGCTTCCCCTCCAGGAATTTTGAATTGAGGAAGCTTCCTGGAGGGGAAGCGAAACGTCTTCAAACCTTGGAAACCAAGTCCAGTGGATTGATTTTTAAACTTTTATGGAACATCTATAAATGTTGGCTTGCCTTACTGTTTGAAACACAGAAACCACTCAGACTCCTGTTTTACCTTTATATGTATTTATTCATAGCCACATTTTAAAAATTCAAACTGACCTAATCAGACAAAAACATTTAAAATAGTTTTTATGTGCTGCGTATTAGAGAAGCAGAGCATGACAGGAGAACAGTTGATCAACGACACACAAAAAGGAGAGCGGTGATGTTAGAGGAGAAGCAGCTATCGGGAGATGGAGTCAGGGCTTGGTGCCTCCTTACTGTTGGAGCTGGATAGATCTGAGAAGATAGTTGGAGGAGAGGGAAGCATGCAACGCCACAGGAGGGGGGGGGGCCAAGAGGAAGAGACAGAGTTAGTAGCAGTGGGAGGGTTTTATTAAGACCAATCTGAATGCTAGGAGACTAAACACAGAAGCAACATCACAGCTTTGGCAGGAAAATTAGCTTTAAAGGATTATTTGTGCTGCTTTTGAAAAATTTCTTTTTCAATTGTTCATGTTGGCTCATTGGTGGAACGTGAAACTATCAAGCAATTAAAACTGAATGTTTTTCACTCGCAATTCAGAAAGAAACAGTTAGAGACCAAAAATGATCAGTTAAATCCATCTTTATGCAAAGAAACTAAGAATAACCTCTGATTTGGATAAACTGAACCAAGAGAGGGAAACTGAAGGACAAACTGAATTAAAAACAAACTATAGAGAATAGAAATGGATTAAAATCTGAATATTTGCTAAAGCTGTACTTTAATGTGTTTATTAAATGAATCATTAAACATTATTTCATGGAATCTTCATTTTATTTGGAGATCAATTCAATGAAACTGAGCAGAGGAAATATTGATAAGTTTGATTTAATTTGGCAATAACTGAATATCAATGTTCAATAACTTTAATCAATATACATTACACTGTTAGATTAAAACATTTGTCATTGACTGATGTTCAGGGTTTTATATGTTTTGAGTGTTATGTTAAAGGAGCTTTATAAATTTGGCAGTCTTTCTAAGGCTGTTTATTTCATTTATATCTGAGTGAATTTCGTTTGATCTAAATTTAAAAAAATCCAGAAAATTCACTTTGAAAATATGTATAATATTTTTTATCAGTTTTATATTTCATATGTTTTTTTTTCCAAAAAAAAGTTTTTACATATTTTCTATATTCCAGTTAATTTTGTCAAATTTGTCTTTTGCTTTTCACAAATGTTAATGTAAATTATGTCATAAATGTCAGGAATTGTGTTGTTCAGTTTAAGCCCAATACAAACATTTGCTCTTGACCAGTAAAATGTTACATATTTCCTAACATCCAGCAGACTAATAAAAATCCTCACTCCAGGAGAAACTCTGCCTGAGAGGCTAAGAAAATGTGATTTGTGAAAAAAAAAAAACACAGTTTAAAAGGAATGCGGTTTGTAAAACTTTACTTTTAAGAATTTACTATGTTAAAATAAAGACAAAAATAAAATATCTCAAAATATTAAATATGAAAACATAAAATCTATAAATATAAAAGGTAAAATTTGAAAAAGGAAATCTAAAAGAAGTGGTTGAAAACTTTAAACGATTTCTAAAATAAAATCTGAGAAAATAGTCCAGTTATTAGGAACAAGTATTATCTCTGGATTATATTTTAATGAAATTTCCATTAACAACTGTGTTCCTTGCAAAAACAATGAAAAGATACTACTTCATAAATACATATTAGACATTTTTTTACTTGACTTTTTATTTAATTACACATTAGAAATCAAGTATGTTGATTAGCAGCTGTTCAATTAACCAGGTTTTCAAATAGCAGTTTATGTTTAGATTCGCTCTCTTAATGAAAAGTCAAAAAAAGAGTTACTTATTTTTACTTTTTCTTAATATTAATATAGAGAATATTTATTTTTCAATATGCCATGTGAATTTAACAAAGTAAAAAGCAACACAAACATCTTCTCTAGCGTTATAAAAAAAAAACAGGATCATCCTGCTTGATCTGAGAAGCACTTTACCCCCTGAGCTGTTGCTTTCTGCCACTCCTCTCTCCTGATTGGCTAACAGCAAACACGCCTCATTCCCATTGGTCTCATCTGGCTGATTGTGATTGGCCCATGTGTAGCCAGTGGCATAGAGTTCTGCAGT